AAAACTATTAATAGACTGCTTCTATATAGCTATAATTTAATTAAAACTTTATTATTCTAATTCTTATTTAGTTAATTCTTCTCTAATAAAAATAATACTATCTCTATAATAATAACTATTATACTCTAATATTTAATATAAACACTGTTACTGGACCTGGTCTTATATAATTCTAAAAATATAATATTAAAAATCCTAATATTATATAATTATTTAAATCCTTATATATTTAAATTCTTCTGGATCTGAATAAATTTTCTATTAATTTAATCTGGAAATAGAAATCTAATTGACCTAAATCTTTTTATATCCTGATTTCTAATCTATAATATTTACTATTACTAAAAAATCTTTATATATAGTAAATACTACTAATTAATCTAAACTGTATTAATAACTATAATATTATTTTAGAATTATAGAAATAAAATTACTAGTATAGTGATTTCTTGGGCTTAATAAATATTATATTTCTTAATTAATTTCTATTCTAGATCTGGTACTGGATACTAATTATGTTTTATAGATTTAATAGACTGGAATAAACCGGTACCTTGCCTGACTAGTCTTAAATAGACAGATTAATTTCTACTAATATATCTGTAAATATATTCTAATTAATTTAGTTTAATATAACTACTAATAGGCTAATTTAATAACTGAATTTAATTTAACTATTAATTCTTCTATAACTACTAAAATTACTGTCTCTATAAACTCTAATAGAATAATATCTGCTATATATACTATTACTGGACCTGGCTTAATATAATTTCTAAAATATTATATTAAAAATCCTAATATTATATGGCTATTATTCCTGTATACTATATTTCTAGAAATTAAAATTTATCTATATTTATATATAATTATATTTCTGGTTATCTTATATATTAATCTATTATTGATCTAATATATAATTAAATAGTTAGGAATTAATTCTATTAACTAATCTATAATAATAATAGCTATTTCTTATACTGCTTTAACTCTATATATATCTAGTATAACTAATAATATAATATAAATAACTGGTTATACTGGCCCTGTATTCTCTTGGTAATCCATTTAAAAAACTGTGTTATCTGCTGAATATTCTCACTGTCAGCTCTATAGCTAGCTAACTGCTGTTACTATAATGGCTGTATCTGCTTGGCCCATAGACCATGTAATATCATGGCCACTATAGATAATAATATATTCTAGTATGCATAATCTCTCCTGTTACTCTACCATCCCTGGTATATGGACTGGGGCATATAATACCAAAAACATACACTGAATCTGGTAAACTGGATCCTAATCTTATAGATATTCTATATTTATTCTTTAGTAATAGTACTCTAGGATCCCTAATAAAATATTAACTCATGCTTCTGCTGTTCCCGGCTGGCTATAATATATATATAATATTGCTGCTGCTACTAAGAGATATTAATCTTGATCTACTTTTTATTTAATTACTGTACAGTATTCTGTGCGTGCTGTTAGATATCTGCCGCTGCCTATTACTATATCTGGATCTGCTGCTGTTGCTATTCAGCCACTGTGATGGGTAGGACCTGGAATATAAATAATGCATAACTGATATTACTAGCAGGACTGGCAGCGCGGGTCTTACAGGCCGGATATATAGGATATACTACACTATAATCTACTGGACAGGCCAGGCTAACAGGGAGGCCTGTATCTATCTTAATAGATGGAAACCGTGAATCCATGGGAATTAGGCTACTTGGAATAGGCGGATCCTAATCAGGATAATCAGAATAATATCTATCGCACGGCAACTCCTTGGAATTCTTATTCTGGCACTGGTATTGTTCATATCTGTCCACAGGGCTATCTAAATACTGGTCCAATATATATTAATGACATCCCACCCTGGGCATAATATCTATATATTCTGTCACTAACTTAGTATCCTGGGGATTCCCATCAAATCCCCAGTATGGATTCTCCAGCTGGATAATAATTACCTTGCTGGTATGGCTATCCCGGCCGGCACAGCCACTTTCCTGTGCATAATCTAATAATAACCGGGGGCTCCTGATATAGATAATATATCAGATATCAGGAATATTTATATCTATACCTAATGCGCTGGTAGCAGCAATTACCTGGATAGTGCTCTGTATAAATTACTGTAATATCAACAGCTTATTAATCTGCTGGCTGTAATATACCTTATATTGTAACATCCGGGCGATCTTAATTACCTGGCAGACTATATTAGCATAAATAATTACCTTGCTCTGGGATACCTGTGTAATCTACTGCTGAATAAATATGATCACAGTCTTGGCAGTACACTACTCGGGACCACTGCGGACCCTGGACAGCTGTCATACCTGGTATGCCACATTAGAATAACTGGTGCAGGTCTGGAACATGCTTATCTGGTTACAGGTATACTCCATCCGCTGCAATAATATAGTCTCTAATGTGGGAGGTAATGTAGCAGTTAACAATACTATCTAGATACAGATATAGTTCAATTGCTCTAACTGCTGTAATTCAGGCTGGAAATCCTGCTGGTTATTTAATACTATATAGCATTTATTAATTATAATATAGTCTAACTGCCGGGTCTGCTGTAATTAATTGATAAATATATAGAAATTGTCTGTAACTGCGGACTCAGGTGTGACTAATATAATTGTGGCTTTATCAGGCAGTTAACGGCTCTCCCATAATATATATGATATACCCAATACCTGGCATTATCTTATTATATCACTCTATAATGAAATCAGCAGCACCATCACAATGGTTATCCTGCTAGACTCCATAAATACGGGTAATATAAATAACATGCTCTTGCTGCCTCCTGTAGACATTACTGCCACTATAGGGCTCTTGCTATCCTGGATAGCCTGTAATACCGGGACCTGCACCCCACAGAACTGGATGGTCTCCTGGCCTGTCATCTGCTGCAACGCGGTTGTCATATCTATTATATTTAACCAGTGCCACTGCATGACCCGGCCCTGATTAGCCTTGTCCTTCCATGGGGACTGCTTCTGTTTGCTGGCTGTCTTGACAGGGGCCCTGTCCACGGTAAACCCCAAAAATCGATGCTAATCTATACTGGATAACCAAAATATGGCACGGCACTGGGTAGTGGTCTCAGGATGCTCTATGATATCCCGCGCGTATATCAAATCCACGGTGTGGGAGAAATATATGGCCTGCTTGTCTGTGATAGCCTCTATCCACTGGTTCTTATCTATATTACACTCAGGCGGAATCTTGGGGGCCTTTTTCTTCTGCATGTTACTGGGAAATGCACTGCTGGGCTATATTTACTGTCAGCTGATCCTAATAGCAATCTCGTGATATGTCTGGATATTGACTGTATACTATAACTGTATCTTGGTCTCGCGCTTCAACACCTCGCGGAACTGTTCAGATATCTATACCCGGTACATGCCAGGATCAGGACCCCAAACAAACGCGGATATTGATGCTGGTAGGAGGACTGATATTAATACTAGGGTTACTAATATTAATACTGGGGGTTCGGATATTACTGCTGGTAGGGATGCTGATGTTGATACTGGAGATTTGATTGTCAATACTGACAGGGGAACAGATGATAATATGGATGGAGATATGGATAATATCAGATAATAGTGCCATGCCTCTAATTACTGGACAAATGGTAATATCAACTATAAATACTATATAATCAGCTCGCTGACTTCCCGCAGTATATATTGACTGATAACCTTAATATTATTACTGGCATAAAATCCCTTATAATATACTGATACTAATATGACTATACTATTCTCAATAAATATATTATGCTGCTGGTTAGTCTCTGTATTAATATACTGCAAGCTTAATAACTCTAGGGCCCGGCTGGGCTGCCTGCCTATAATATACACAAGCACAGCCAATTTCTTCCTGAATCAGGCCACCTGCTGCAAATACTGTATAACTAACTGTAGCTGGAACTGTGTAGGCTGGCAGTAGTGAATAAAATATGCCTGTATATCAGGCTTAGCCTGTATCTGCTCTATGATCTACTGTGGGCCCTTCACTGGCTATTAGGTGCGTTGATCCTGCAAAAAGCTCTATTCTACAGTGCTCTATATAGAATTATTATATAATATATACTACAGGATAGCGGGAGTCTTGCTAAATATTAATTCCCGGCACAATATCTACTGGATAACCCCAGTTAATCCATACATGAATCTCCGGAAATTGCCTATAGTGAACTGGATATATTTATATAACAATCAGTCTAGTTATATCTATATCACATGTCCGGGTATTATAGTATTATAATGGATGCGTAATCTGTATATCCACTAATCCTGCAATATCTCTATCAGTGTGTGCATGCCGCGGACTATTAACTGGCTGACTATCCACATTACCTGCTCCTGGAATGTCTTGCGGGATGGATTCTGGCTTCACTAGATCCGGGACGCGGGATCTCCATACTGTATAGATAATATTGATAGAGATAATAGAGGTTCATGTTCATTCTCCACCCTACTACTGTACACAGAATCGGCCTTGATATTGTCTATGGCCGCGGCACTGCATAATGTCTATTTAATACAATTCTGCGGCTTCTGCCATGTCTCGATAATTGCTATTATATTGGGATCCAGCCATAATGCCTTCTGGACAATCATGAACCGGGCAATCTTGATCACCCGGGACAAAATTGGCAGATAGCTCTCGGGATCTTGTCAGCTAAACTCTTCCCAGCCCAGCATGGCTATGGCATATACTAGTACACTCTTATACTCCTGGATATAGTATGTCTGGTTTATCAGCTTAATATAAAACTCTAAATATGTCTGCTCTATATTACTTATTATCCATTGCTTGCGCTTGAGATTGCTCTTCCCGGAATCTCTTTTCTCCTTCTCTCTCTCCATGGAGGCATGGGCAGTGGCTATCTGCTACAGCTGTTGCCATTTCTTCTGCTGTCACAGTGTTATTCTATACAGTGGACTCTTCTCCATGCACAGCACCTATATGTGGGCGATAAATGCCAATATCTGCTGCCATGGCTGGACATGCTTGGCCATGCTGTCTGCATTCATGTATGCCAGCAACGGCCAATACAGGGTCTGGCCCTTCTCAGACTGCACAGCTTCAATCCGGATGGCTTGCCCGGTATGCTGCATGGTTTACTGGCTCTTGCATACCACGCCTTCCATGGCTGTCCATATCCGCTGCACGCCCTGCTCCACGGGGTCATCCGTGTTAGGTAACGGGATGGCCACCATGGCACGCAATATCTTAAAATTGCTGGGGGTGGTGAACTCCTGTAAATACTGGGTCCACCCGGTTACCCATAACTACAGGTTGGCATCACGGATCTCTCCAGTCCTGGTGGCACCGGTCTGGATCTTCATTGTCTTCCACACTGCAGTTACCTGCTGGATGGCCTGGTCTACCTGCTCTATACAGACAGGAATGTACAGTTCTTCCTCCTGGCCCCCACGGATATAGATATAATGGGATCCTTTGCAGGATAGGAATATCTGCTGGTATGTTATAATGATATATGACTGTCACAGCTCTATCTTACCCTGAGTACGCTGCTCGCGTGTTATGTGATTACTATAGGGATACTGGGACTATCTATAGATACTGCGCCAATGTCACTGCATACTCTCTATAGTCTGTCCGATATATTGATACCCCGGATAATCCTGTCAGCATAATAATCTGTCCGGATATATCAGGATCCCTGCTAATGGTTGGTCTAGTTAGAATAGAATCTTAATCTTATTAGGACCTTGTACAATACCCTCCCATCGTGTAACTGCCTTGCTGATAGCCACTGCATCAGTATAGACTAGTTAATGACTGGTATTCTTTAAATGACTGATAATTTCGGGGGGCTATACCCTGTGCTGACAGTGCTGGTACACAACAATAGGTAATAAATCTAGCTTAGTAAATAGTTAATGTTCCATAGCTCAAAAACCCTAATCAAATCCGGTCTACAGTTGGGGGACAGTATTTAGAATGGAAATCTACTATAGAAGAATAAAATATAGGATTTAAATTAAATCAATACTCTAATATAATCTCTGAATATGATCTATTATTATCTTCCATAACCATGTGACTTGGTAATGGAATAATGGTAATACACTACGACTGGTCATGCGGCTGTGGATGCTTACCCTAATAAATTTAGTGATAAAAACAATAACCACTACAGCACTATTATTTGGCTGATTTATGGCCAGCAAAATGGACAGCATATTCTGTACTGGGATCCTAATTAACTGGCCAATTTTGGTGCTGTTTGAATAATGTTTGGTCATTGGGATGGACCCCCAACTTTTTGTTGGGATGAACCTGAAACCCTAATCCCGCCCGCCAATCAGCACCCGGCGGCTAGCCCCACGCAACTGGGATCCTGCACCATCCCAGTTACCCTTGTGGACTAGGTTCATCTAGGTATGTAGCACTGTACGCTACTGTTTCTCGCCGGGTAGCTTGGAGCGAGCTTATACATCGCGACTATGATATTCTGCTAAGTATAGCTGTACGTGGTGGGTAAGTTACGTACTTTTGTTGTCCCGTGTACTAAACCCCGTTAGGTCTATAATGTGAGAGAGATAACTCCCCCCCAAATCCGGGATCCGACGGGGGCAACGACCGAAATGGCCAAAGACACACACCCCTGTTCTTAGCTTGGACGGCATACAGGCTCAAGGATCAATATAGCTATGGGCTTGGAGGGGTCGGAGTCTCGGCATACCTAGATGAGTAGTTGAACCTGGTGGATCCGACACTGTGGATGGTTAGATAACTAAGGTAGATGAGGACTATCCCTAGTTAGAGGTAGCTGTTCAGGCACTTTGTGATAAATGCTGATTGCCAGTGGTAGGACTCAAACCCACGACCAGTTCAGGAGAAAACCTGAGCAAAATTCCCTTAGTGGGAGGTCACCTCGGCGCGCTTACCACTACACTACTGCCGCTGGCGTCCTAGGTGATGGGAGGCAATGGCTATCCTAGTCTACTGTATTGGTTGATTTCCCCTTCTGGATGCTACGTTAGGTTGTACTTTCTTCTGTTCTTTCACTGGTTATGCTCTCTGCGTTCCAGTTGCTGTCTGATTTTGGAGAAGGCGGCCATAGATATCGTAGGAATAAAGTGCCATGCGATCCCAGAGTGGAAGCAACGCTGGACTCTGGCACGCTCTTAGTGAGATCATTGATATGCCTTTCGATAGTGAATGACCTCGCGGCCAGTTCTTGATTCAGCTTTACTAGGGAAATCCCCTTTGTCCTATACTGACACGCCAAAAAGATACAATACATGGCTAACAGTCCATGCAGCGAACACGCGATATACAAAAAGGCGACTTCTGTTCCTGCTACTGTCCCCTTTCAAAAATCTCCCAGTTCTTAGAGATAAGGTGTTAGGCAAGACTTGCGAGCCAGGAAGACAATGCCACCAGCCCTGGGAACAATACAGTATTATTTGTACATGGTTAGTCTCCACTGCTGATCCCCTTGGGCCGCACGCAGTATGATGCTGTCAGCTAAAAAATTCGGATCTATAACGGTGCCGGTCATGCATCATGTCAAGCCTCTACTAAACGGGTCCACTTTCCTCTGGACCAACACACCAAAGATGCATATACATGGCCAACAAGCTAAGCAGCCAACGTAATTAGTTCAGGCAACCCCTGATACCATCCAGCATAGCCACTTTCCGTAGCAAAACCTGGCGAATGACAGAAATCGCGCATCGCAATTGAGAGCCAGGATAGACTCTGGTGATGCTTGAATCGAATCGTAGATAGTTCGCTCGCTTCAGAACGCCAGGATACTTAAAGACACTGGTTGAATGGAGAAACCGTTTCTTGTCCATCAAACCACATCTCTACCTCTTCTATTCACTCTAGCTCCCCTCCCAATCCTCTATCCGAAGTTCATCATGAAGCTATACTACGCCCCGACACTGGTGTGGTCATGCACATCCATCTTAGCATCAGCGCTCCCCCAGAACATGGGCAACCTCACGATTTACGGGTCTGAACAACTTGGCAGTCAAGTTGCGAATACGTTTCTGTCTTGTTTGAATAACACCGGCACCAACTATAAACTCTACGTCGAAGATTTCGGAACAACTATAGCATTACCACCAACCAACCGGACCATTGACTTCGAGCCTGAGGATCAGGGGCTTTTCGAGTGCATCATCGAGGTGAATCTTCAGATGGAAGTGGCCGCTGAATCAACCCTATACGACCAAGGCGAATTTCCGAATGCGAGTCCCAGCAGCCTTGTTACGTATGAGCGGCTGCGCTCGAAGGGTGCACTCGGCAAGAAGCCAGTTGGCTCGCGGCTCCCTACGACGATGGGGGACTCGGTCGCAGCAAACCCGAGGTCGGTTATACCAAGGCAATCTCTGGTATACTGGGCCTATCCAGCCACCGATTCAAGCTGTGTAAACGTCGATCTTATAGCATCGCACGCCAACCACTGTCATAATTCGGCCTCGGCATTTTCGAGCATTCAGTTTGAAAACACAGCTCAGCATGAATATTTGACAGTGGAGATGTGGCCGCACCATCAATGCCAGAAAGGAAACAGCAGACGTCGCGTGATTCATCCTGGTACCCTTGATACTTGTCAGAAAAAGACAACGTACTCCTGGTATGGCTCGTTCTCCAGATGCCGCTCATGCTAAGCCGAGAAATGGTGAGCCTCCCAATGTGGCCATATGGTTGGGTGAGAACATACACTTGAACCACGATGGAGCCGATCATGACCATTGAAGCCTATATTTCTCCCAGCCCTTCCATTAACCCCATCAGTTGGATGTGTTGAACCGACGGATGGGTACTCATATCGCTCTACTGTCAATGTGCAACCTGTATATGTATCTAGTACTTTCTGGTCATAAAGTGGCCATGACATTCCTTACCATCATCCAAGACCTTCAGACAATGAATTATGCTTTGTAGTTTCTATATCTTATATTAATCAATACCCAAGCGCCCATATAAAGCCTCCCGAGCTACACTGGACAGCCAAATCGCCTCAAGAAGAGAGCACATTAACACAGTATGCCCTTCCGTCTCTTGATTTTCTTTCTGTTTCCGAAATTGTGATGATCCTATTCACGTTGGAAAATAATATCATTTATATCTAATGTGGCGATCTAACAAAACATCAAACAAAGAGAAGGAAGAGAGAAAGAAAGAATTCTATCATACAAGAACTGTGGGATTTTGTGTTGAAGGACCAGATCAACAGTGAATAGGGCGGACTTGGTGCCTCAGGCAGGGAACGGCCTAGGCCCTGACAGAAATCCATGCCATACCATTTCTAGTTGTAGAATGATAGAGTTATGGATGTAACCGATCAGCACGTTCTGCCTCGCACAACAGCCGGTAAACAGCAGATGGGTGGACAACAGTGACATCAAGTCATTAGTCAAGAAAATTTATTCTTTGTCGCCTAGGCCGTGATTGGCCCGCGCTATTGCACTAGGTCATATCCAAGGTGGGTGGGTCTCTAGCTTTTAGTTGAAATAAGATGATGCTTGATCACTTAATTCCAACAACACAACAACCGCCAAATACCGAAAGTGGGGTTTCGGTGATTGAATTCTGGGTGTTCCTATTGACTAATTTACTAGTAAAAAGCTCTTCTCCAATAGTAAAGGTCATCCTTAGCTTCGTTACCTGCTGAGGGATTTAGTTACCCTTTATCTATTTGTAACAAAACTGGTAGAACGAGATGTTGACTAGGTGGCAGGGTTCGGCTTTTAGTCCGGACGTATCCCGAGACGGATCGAACTTTACTGAAAGGACTTTGGAGACCAAGGCAAAAGATTTTGAAGTCTCTTAGGACGACACATAACTTCTTGACCGCGGTAGACGTATCTCACTCTTCCCAAGTTCCAATTTGGAAACCCCAGCAATCTCCATGACGGTAGCTATTAATTCGGAAATTAGATGATCTCACTATTATAATAGTATACTGTCTTTTTTTGACAGCTGTCTTGTTCTGTCAGATCATTTATTAACAGGCAACTACGCTCAGTTCGACAATACAACACTTAACAAGACAGCGACGGGGAAAGCTTGAGCTCAATTTAATTGCCTCTTACAAACCCCTCACTTATGTGACGAACCAGTGTTTACGCTGTTTGTACATAGCTTGCTATAATCCCATGTTTTTGTATACTGATGATGATCTATTTATCATTCCTTTCCTTCCTCAGTTTAGTCTTTTAGTACGAACCTGCGAATGAGATCTATTCTTCTTCATTGAGGCCATCACAACCAGTATCAGTATCCATTCTAGACCGTGACGGCAAAAAGCAGCGCGTTCGAGTCCCTTCCGTTGGCGGCTTGCGGTCCCGATTCCTGCACTACCCTGGACTTTACCGGTGGGTCGCATTGTGTACTTTCTCCTGCAGCTGGAGAAAGTTGGATGGATCTTCTTTGGGCTAGCTAGCCTTTCTGGTCTATTACGTTGTCAATTATTCCGTAGTTTCCTTACAATCAACTGTCTCAGCAGGCTCCTGCAATGCTGCGTTAGCTTTATCCGATAGCGCCGGTTCCAACGCATGGAGGATGATATTATCTCCCCGACGCTCTATTGGACAGGTGAAGTAAAATAGTTGGTTCTCAAGTCCATCGTATTGAGCTTGGCGCCCTTAGGTTCTTCTCAAGCCAGAGGGGCCAATAATTTCCTGGTATTGGCTGGCGAGAAGGGTTCAACGGCAGGGGAGGGGAAGGGGTGCTGCTGATCTGCCCGTACATTTTCGCTACTCGAATCACAGTATTCTGTTTCCCCGTAACAGTATGTTGTGCCATACTTGTAGATCTCAGCAACGCATCCCTAGATGTACTGTGGTGCGGAGTATTTTGCGCTCTATCCGAGGAGGCCAGGCTAGAGTCTGGGTGGTACTCTCCTAGAGGGTATCACGGGATTTCTTTTCTACCTGGGTTGTCTACTCTACTCACGGTTCACTTAGCAGGGGTCTATAAAAAGGTCCTATAAGGTGGAACACATATTGTAGTTTTATATAGGCCTATATAATCAATCGGTAGTCGCATAATCATGTGATAGATCTATAATCTGTATGGTCGCTTTTTCATCTGATGATCATGATATGTATACAGTCTATCAGTTAGTCTGTACCTTTTTTGTTTATCCCCTGTAAGCAGGTTTGGGGAGGGGGTGGAGAATGAGACAAAGAATTCTGACAGACAACCAGGGCGAGTGATTCGCCGAAATTACACCATCATACGACCGGAGACAACCCACCGCAACTATACAACAGTTACCTCGAAGCTGTGTTAGGCCAAAGTGGTAACTCCGGCGCTCTGTCAAGTCGATCAGTCAGCAGCACAACCTTCGGAGAGAGGAAGGCTAGTGGTTTGGGATGCCTAGGGATCGGCCTCCTAGCGTCGGAATATACTATAAAGGGAAAAGGTTCTATGACTATGCACACCAGGTAGCAGCGCGAATAGGGAGCACCAGTTGCTGGAATCTAATCATTTCTAGATCTTGCCACTGGATTAAAATGGACAGGTTAAGAATACCATATCATTATATAATAAAATAGGATTGAAAGGATTTTTCAGGTATCTCTGCTAATACGACGGTGCGTTCTTTCTATCGGATTATTAGTCTTCCTTTCCAGGACAAACAGGCATAGAGGCCAGCAACACCAGCGACAGTAATGCTTTGAATTTCCATCCACTAATGAGACCCTATTATGGGGATAATAGTTCGGCTTTTCCTTACAAAGTTTGATATTATCGGGGGCTGCATGGCTCAGCACAGATTCTGCCATTGGTCGAAACTTATAATAGCTTAAGTTAACTGACGGACCGTAACTTTTGGTTCTTTCCCCTAAGGCAAAATAGTTCGCCACCGCGGAAAAAGCAGTTACAAGTGAGGGGAAAGAATTGGACCCCGGTCACTGTATCCCTGATCGTGCTGCAAAAAAAGTGGGCTTCAGCCGGAGTCGCCGACGTAAGTAGCAATTGAAGTGCTGAAGATTATGGAGGCGTTGGAGTTGTTTTGAGGGGGGCGGAGAAACACATTACCATGTCAACCGGCCGGTGGCGATTTTCGATACAAGATGTTTGTTTTGCAAATGCAGCAAGCTGAAAGAGGAGAAACCTCCTCAGCTAAGCCATGTGGGTTGAATCGTGTGCATATTCACGGGCTGCAGTGCTACTCGACCTAGGTAGTGCCACTGGGTGGTCGTCGAAAAGTTGAAGATAAATACTGCAACCCAACCTCGATAACTGGAGACTCTAGAGCAACCTCAGGTCCTTCAGCCCAACCTGCCTGGAAAGCAGACACTCTTGTTTGATATCATCTTCACCAAACCAAGTCCTAGAAATGTCACTTCCCTAAGTATATGGATGAATTCAGTGCTCCGACTCTCCTGCTGATGATGGTATAGTTTCTACAATGGAAAAAGATCCCTGGAGGTCCGGTCCCTCGTATGAATACCGCGAGTACAAGGTCAACGGATTTCCCCTCGTCGGCCAGACCAGACTGACCCTCTACTCTGACCCGGGAAACGAAGCCCTTTATTCCATCACGGATATGAGTTCAGATGGGTTCTATTGGGATTTGGTAACCTCCTTGCGGAATGACGGAGCCGGAGACAGCACCCTCTCCACCTCCTATACCAGTGAGCTCAAAGTCACCAGCGGCAGCGAAAGCGAATTGAACATGAACTTGGGGCTGGCGTTCAAGGGTGTCAGTGTGGGAGTTGGCGGATCCGTCAAGACCTTCCAATCGAACGAGACGACCAAAAGCCAGACGCATTCCGTGCAGGTGACAATTCCCCCACAGTCGGTCGCTCGCCTGTACCAGAAGATCTACCGGTTCAAGACCTGGATGTGGTTTATCAACGATGCGTGGAATGAGTTGAGTCGCGTGGGCGGCCAGGGCAATTACTCGCCCTCTCACGTCGAGGGCTACGTCGAGATCAAATCGCTGGAGTACTTCGTGCGGCAGGATATCCTGTATGGATCGGGGAGGACCTCCGCCGACCGGATCACTAATAAGGCCGACTTCAAATGGACTCGGAAATTCGAGAATACCACACGCAAGTGCCAGCGATATCTCCGAGACCGGCGTGTTACTATTCCCAGCAGCTAGCAGGTTGTCTTTCTTTTGTCCCCCTCCTCTTGAGGTTTTCCCCGTGTTGTGATGTGAATGCAGAGACATTGACTACTGTATCTAGTTTTGAAATATCCTTGTTTTGTACTCGTTTTGCGTGGTGGCGCAAGAATATCAGTGAAGATTAGAATCCTTACTCAGATTCCAAGCACTAAGTTCAATTCGGAATAGAGTTATGTATTCTACGCCCAGATATCTATCTTTCAGTAGACCTACACTGGAGTATGGGGACCAGCAGCAACAATGAATGCACACGGTGGCCTGGGATGCGAGCTATGACTAGACAGGAAACGGATCGCGGTAAACTGTATCTGGCATCATCTTCTTGTGTGGATTTTGAGGAGTCGGGAAAACAGTCCAATCCATGCGACCAGGATCCGGAACATGACCAATATGAGGAGAGTGGTGCCAATGAAGTCCATCACTGCTTTGAAGTGGCCTTGATCTTTTGCTGTTTGCACCAGCGATGCGGTTTGGCCAACAAAGGAGTCCTTCACTGAGGCTGTCACGATCGCGTATGTTTTGCCTTTCTTGCAGCTTGTGGTAATAATAACACATATCGCCCATCAACTTATTAACCTGGTCTGGAGTTAAACCAGAAGAAATTGAGTGCAGCGAGACCCTGAACGATTAGCCCGGGATCTCCTTCCGCCCTCTGAAGGTCTACCGTCTCTATATTATAGGAACCCGGAAGATCTCCCATCACACATAAAGAGTCAAGACGTTCTTCTAATGTCTCATGCAGTTATCGCATTGGATGTTGATTCTCTTGATTGTGAGAGTGCCCGTGGGACTGCCAGTCGTGACGAAGACAACATTAGCAGTGGGCGCCGCTTGGTAAATACAGGTTCCATGAGAGCCATGAGGATAAAGTAGAAGTTGTTGTTGCTGATTCATACGCTGACCCCTCACCGGAGCGATATGCAGGTATCCACTATCTGGTTATCTCTCTAAATATATTTATTTACTCGCGGTGTAACCCTATAAGTGTCGTACTAGGCCTCGCCAAGACACGATCATTGTACTAAAAGGACGCTATGAAGAACTCTTAAATGTGGAACAACCTATTAGAGGCCTCGGGCCAGGTGGGGTCATCGTAATTGTCATGCTAATAGAACCACATATTTTCTTTTAAATCATTCTCGCCATTCCGGTCTCCCGAAGCCTCGGCCACTTCTAGGTAGTTAAAATCATGTTGTTTGATGAAACTAGGTCAGATCACTCATACTGAAATCGATCGATCCTGGTCTCGCTAAATTAGTCCTCACTATGTCACCGTATCGCCTCCCTTTAGGATACAATGATTTCTTATGAAGAACTGATTGTACTTGACTAACTTGACTTCGTTGATGTATGTAGACTAGTTGGGGGGGGGAGGGTATATCTAAGAGGAGGAACGAAGGTGGTGTCAATAGGCGGTCAATTTAATTGCTTGACAATACTTTCTGCCGGGTACTATAAGTCGATTGATTACTTGTTGGAACATACGGTTGTCCTACACCACCGCGTGGTTGCAGATGAGCTGAGGTCAACTTTTTCCTCGTGTGGGACAAAATCGATTACATAAGCGCCAAGCCGGCTATGTAATGACAACTGAACTTTACACATTTTTATCCCACACCGTCTCTTTCAAACCACTTACCAACTAATTAATACTACCTAGATATGGTTACTGGATCTGGAAATTTAAGTTCATTACTTTCTAAGCAGTAAGTAAGGGATAGATATGTAAATAGAGGTAGTATATCTAGTATCTGTGCAAGATCAGCAGTGGTTGCCTTGACTAAAAGTGGTGTTCGAGACTATGTAGTACGTAAAATATATATATATAATGACAGGTCTACCAAGAGATTTCAAATTAGAGTAGTTCAAAAGTAGTTTGTAAGTAGTTATTAAGTACTTATAAACTACTTACTCACGTTCCTGCAATCGTATCCTTCTCTCTATAAGATCCAGTTCTAACTTCTCATTTTGAAGCTGTTACAGGCGGATTTCTTCTTCTTGCTTTTTGAGATTTACTTTCTTTTGTTAAATCTCTATTTTAAGATTCTAAATCTCAATCTCTTCATGTCTTTGTTCAAGATTTAAAGCATTTGTTGAAACAGTATACTGAAGATTAGTAGATTTTATTAATCTAATATTTTAGTAAAAACTTATAAATCAATTAGAGTTTTTATAAACTCACTTATTATCACCATTTTGCGAGGAAACTTGTGGCCCTGTGTTGGGTGGTTCTGATTATGGTGTGGAATGATTGATTTCTTAAGCTGCAGGAGCAGGATGCTGCTAAGTTCTACATACAAAGCGGTGAAAGGGGCGGTACAGCAAGGTAGGCAGAAAGTCAGAAAGGAACGGGAGCGACAGCGAACGGAAAACATAGTGGTGGAATGGAACGCAACACCCTGATCTTGTAGCTCATTGAGGTAATTGTCATAGATTGAATAGCGATTCGGCCTGATGGCCGTACAGGATATCCTGACCCAGGTGCATGGACAATCGGCCACCGATGAGGAACATCAGGCCATCAACGGTTTGGTTTTCAACGGGAAATCTGAACCCTTTACGTACAGAATCTTCAGCTATAAATTAGCGAATCGATAGTAGTAGTAGTAGGAGATCAAGAATCAGTCTCCTGTCTGAATAGTATCTACTGCCTGCCTTTGATCTTCCTCTCTCCTTTGGCTTACGTCTCTTTACCTAGTTGACAGGTCTTCTACCCTGAATAGTAGGTACCCTTGAGTCCTTGCCCTCTAGCGCATGTAATGCAACTCTTTGTATAAAGTCTTCAAAAAAAAAAAAAAAAAAAACCAAGGTAAATGCAAAGAACAATAATATTTAGCTTTTATAGTATCATTAGTATTAGTAAAATCAGTAGTATTACTACTACTATTATTATTAATGGATATTATTAAAGCGCAGCTAGACATTCAATGGCGTTACAGAGGTGTTGAACAAGCTCCTGAGCCGCTTCCCAATCCAAGGTTTGATCCGATATCGTCATGGTGACACGGAGCTCAGATCCATGAGGAACGACAAGAACATTCGCAGTGTTGGATGGTGGATTGGGAAGACTCTCCAGGCTCGTCTCACATATAACACCATCCAAATCGCAGGCGGGCTGGATATCAATGCCCTGGAACCGGACAAAGCTCCCAAATGTTGTGTTACTTGGCCACCGCGTGCAGTTTCGGACGATATCAGAAAAGTCCAGGTTCTCAAATGGCATTGTCTGAAGATGTTGTTCTTGGACCTGGCGCAGGAGAGCCATCTTTTCCACACCATCAGTTGGGGAGGGCATAAATTTGATCCGGACGGGGATGATATTCAAACAAGGCCCAACGATCCGCTCTTCGTGAGGGATCCCCAGGACGCGCCCGTGGACGACTTGACCAAACACCACATCTGTCTGGTCTGCGAAAGTAATGCAGTTCATCAGGGTGATCGCCCACGCTGCCTTAACTAGAGTTGCCATGGTAATCTGCGAGGGTGGGTTAACAAAAGGAATTGTCTTGGTTGCCGTGACGAGCTGGGGAGCATTTGACTTTCGGGATTGTACCTCTATCGGGCTATCTATCCTAGGTGTCAAATGGTGCCTTTTGAATCGGTGTAGATCAGTCATCTTCGCTCCGCCTAATACGCGCTGCCATGCCGGGTAAGCGACGCCTGTTCTCCCTGCTTGTGACTCGCAGAGATGCGAGACAAATGAGGCGGTCGGTTCAAGAGCTTGATTGTTGTACGCGGCGGAAAGATCTTCGCAGATAACAGGTAGGGAGAGACCATCAAACTGAGCGTGCACCAAACGCAGAATAAGGAAAACTTGAGCTTTATCCGTAGCCACCATCTGCACTTGGAACGGTGGGGTCCCATCCAGGGCACTAGGCATGGATATTGAATCCTCCGCACAATGCGTCGCCAAATCATAGCTGGAATAATCCGTAATACGGACATCAAATGTACGCATCACAAGTTGAAGGATCCGGTTGTCATCGTCAGCAATGAATGCCGTGCGCAGGATTGGATGACGATCCACAAGCTGTTGGCATGCCTTTGAAAGGCGAGCGTTATTGACCACTTTGGGAAGAGAGATGGCAAGGTACCGAGCATACCAAGCTCGCAGCGTCATGCTCTGGAATTGAGTTGCAGGCCGAACCTCTCCTATATTGCCCAGGATATCACTAGACACCTTCTGGTTGAGATTCTGATATATATTTACGCTCATATCAACTGCGTCAGGCGCTACTAGTGGTCCTGACCTGTCGATATGTTCAGCTTGTGTTGATAGGTGTCCTGCCATGTCTGACAAGGTGGAAGACCGAAAGATATCCTCCACTATCAATTCTAGTCCTTCCTTCCTGGCTAGGGCTCCCATGCGCATGGCCGTAATAGAATCACCGCCCAGTGTGAAGAAATTGCTTTCCATCCCAAATGATGTCTTTTCTAGTCCTAGAATCTTGCCAACGAGATGGTGTATTTGCTTTTGCTTTTCTGTAACACAAGGCTCCATCTGCAGGATAGATCGGGGGCTCGACGGGTAACATAAGAGTTTCTCAATCGGCCATCGAGAGACCTCTTCCCGAAGAGAGCGACGTTTCAACTTTCCCGACATGGTCAAAGGCATCCTAGAAACGGGAATAAAGAATGATGGAATCATATAGGATGGCAACCGCTCACGAAGCTGCGATACCAAGCCGGCGATATCGAGGTAATAGCGGTCCTGTAGGTTTTCTATCACTTCCAACCCACTGGAATCGCTTGAAGTACTCTGGCCCCAATCTACAGTCTCGTGAGGACAAACAAAAGCGACCAGAAGCTTTCTAGCACTTGAGTCGCCGAACAGTGAGTCCTTGGAGCGAATAACTTCGACAACCACTTCTCTACTGCTCAACAAAGATGCTCCGATTCGATGCTCAACTTCTCCTAGCTCAAGCCTCTGGGCATTTATCTTCACCTGCAGATCCTTCCGACCATGGAACTCCAAGGACCCGTCCGGGCTGTATGAGCCGAGATCCCCGGTTTTATACAGTTTGCCATGATATCCTGGGTGTCGAAAATCTTTCAACCAATTTGGGCTTTTGATGAATGCAGCGGCCGTCTTTTCAGGGTCGTTCAGATATCCAGTCCCCACGATTGGGCCTTCTAGAATCAATTCGCCGACGGCTCCGATGGGAAGTAGTCTATCATGATCATTTGGATCAACAATCCAGCAAACGGCTCCCGTGCCGAACCCAATATTTCCGGGGTTAGAATCCCTGCGAACATCTAGTTGAAATGTAGCGGAAACAGAGCATTCTGCCGGACCGTAGGCGTTGACCAAGCTCACCTCGTTGGGCCATTTTTGAGCTACACCAGTGGTGAGGGGCTCACCAACAGAGGCCAATATCTCTAAGGTGGGAACTTCTACCGGATCAATCAATGCTATGACTGAAGGAGTGAGAATAGCCACATTTACCCGCAGATCCGCCATGGCTTTTGTCGGGTTGTCTCTGCGATCAACGTCGTTGGGCACGCATATGCAAGCTCCAGCCACGAGCGAAAACAGAATATCACCAACTCCTACATCAAAAGCATAGGAAGAAAACTGAAAGACTCGAGATTTTGGGCTCATCTGTAGTTGGTCGATGTGGGCAAGTGCACTGCTGCTGATTGCACTATGTTGGATAATTACTCCCTTAGGTTTCCCTGTGGAACCTGAGGTAAAAATCAAATATGCTGGGTCATCAGGGGTGGTTGACGGCAGTTCTAGTCCGACTTCCATTTCCTCAGTCGGATCCCAGTTCGCATCAGGACAACTGGCGACAAGAGCATGGTTATGAAGCTTGCTACTGATAGCGGCGCAAGCCGTAGATGTAATCACGACCTTGGCACATACATCCGTACAGATCTCTCTAAGCCTCTGGAAAGGATAAGAGGGGTCCATGGTTACAATGGCTGCACCTGCTTTGAGGACTGCTAATATGGCAACAGTCGTCCATATGCTCTTTTCAAAGAGAACTGGCACAAGGTCCCCTCGTTGAACCCTCAATGCCACGAGGCGATTAGCAAAATAGGTCGAGTATTGATCTAGTTGGCCATAGGTCAATTCATAGTCGATTGACTGAGCTGCTAGTGCACCAGGCAGCGTGCGGCAGCGTTTTTGAATGAGCTCATGGATACATGCATGAGTGCCATTGGGAACATGGCTGTTCCACTGCCTCAGCTGGGTCATATCTTGAGGAGTAACCAGGCTGATATCAGCAATTTTCAGTTGGCTCACCATCAACTGCCTGCAAACATGTGCCACCTGGGCGAGGATTTGCTCTGCCTTTGCCTGTGGGACACATTCGGTATTGAATGATGCTTGCAGACAGATGGACCTGTCATCTGGTGTGCAGACAATCATGAAAGGATATGTAGTAAATGCTTTCAGATTGTCATGTACTTCTTGCGCTTGCACAAAAAGGTTAGAATTTGGTACCTGTCGTCGGTGTGGGTGGACAATCAGCAGGTTCTGAAATTCACAGGCTGCTGCCGGCCATGGCCCAGCCTGGCGAATACGCTGCAGTCCTATTTGCTCATAGTCTACCATGCGCAGAAATTGCTCCTGGACTTCGTGCAGCCCTTCTCTTATCGACTTCCCTGTCGGTACTTTGATACGCACCGGTACTGTAGCGAGGGTGGGGCCGCTGACTTTCTCGATGCCCTCCATTGATGCATTGCGCCCCATCAGTGTAGTGCCAAAGAGCACATCTTCTGAGCCTGTTTGACGCCACAGCACAATGGCCCAGGCCAGGCGAAGAATTGACGAAATAGTGCAGTCCATGCTCGTATTGAACTCAATCTCAAGCACGTGCTCCAGGACCATATTTCGGTCATCCCTAGGGATAGCTGAAGGAGGGCAGGGGAAGTTCTCAGCTTCGAGAGCATCGCACTCAGCTCTCCAGAACTCATCAGACACTGTACTGTGTTGATCAAGCGCATACTTAACAAATAAATTGAAAGGCCGCAGATCTATCTTTCCACCGTGATATACGTATTCCACTTGCTCTAACGTCTGACCAATAGACCAGCCATCAAAGATTGCGTGGTGAAGATGAAGAATCAGTTCCTGGCTGTCCAAGCACAGGCCAAAATGTATTAGAGGGCCACTGTCAAGTTTGATTTTCGGTGCATGTAAGTCCTTTTTTGTAGTCGTCTCCCACGGCATCTTTGCTCGTATGACCACCTGGAATGCACCATGAGGGACAATCACTATACGTGTCCGCAGAATAGGATTCATTGTCCATACAATCTCCCATGCGGCGCGAAATCTATCTAGGTCCAGTACATCCGGCAACCGCCAGCAGTAACGAGCAATCATCGCTCCTGGCGCTTTAGCGGTCAAGGCGACTAGTCCTTCCTGTAATTGTGTGCAGGGGTACGCGTCTTCGATCTCGTCCATACTAATCCCCAGCTGCTGCTTCACCTCATCAATTAGGTCGGGACGCTCACTAATAAGCGCAAATGGGTAGATAGATGCAGGAGCAGACGATAGGTCTGCAGGTAGTCTGCGGAGGCACCAAGCCATACCCGATAACGTGGGATGCTTGAAGACGTCAGCGACAGATAATTTTAGGCCCTTCGTCCGTAGAGTAGCGACGAGTTTCATTGCTTCAACAGAGTCTCCACCATGAGTAAAGAAGTTGTCGTGTTGCCGGAACTGGGAGGTTCGTTTGTCGAGGATTTCGGCCCAAGAGGTTTGCAGGGTATATTTGTACGGAGATAGAGGTAAACCCGTTTCATCTCCGCTACCACTGCTAGGAGGGTTTCCACTAGATATTTTATTGTACCCTTCATTTAATAATCTGTCCTGCAGTTCAAGCTCAGCTGCAATCCTGCGTAGCTCCGGCAGGTCAACCTTGCCCGACCTAGTCAGCGGTAAATAATACGCAAACATGAAATGAGCCGGAATCATGTAACTTGGCAGCGTGGAGGAAAGGTTTTTCTGTAGTGCATTTATCCACGGCCCAGATACACTGTCTGGTGCGATCCATGTTGGGGAGTGATGCCCATCTTTTTGGCCCAAACCCTCTCCTATGTCGAGAAAGGCGACGAGTCGGATACGACTACTGTCCGCAATAGATGTGGCAATGACGTTAACATTGAAGATGGCTAGGCTTTTTAGCACTGGGCATTCTCGAATGTGATATTCAATATAGTCCAGATTCAATCGTTGTCCATTAATTTTGACTTGGCTATCACTTCGTCCTACATACTCAATGGACGCGTCCTGGTTGTATCGTGCTAAATCCCCCGTCCGATAAAAACGGTAATTCAGATCGCTACTTGTGCGGAGTCGCCTTTGCCAATCTAACCTGCGTAGGAAGTGTCGCTCTGTTCGCTCTTTATCGTGAAGATAATGGCGGGCTATCGCAGGTCCCTGGATGACCAGCTCCCCGACAGCACCAATAGGCGATAATTGATGGGGATTGTCAGGGTTAACAATCCATAGTCTAGAGCCGCAGCCTCGGCCGATATTCTTCGGTGAATGGCCCAGGCCTATGTCTGAGGCTAGGGCCGCAACTCCCGTGCTCTCACTGACTCCATATGCGTTTATAAGGCGGACTTTCCCGGCCCAACGATGTATGTGTGCCGCCGTCATTGGCTCCCCTCCCAGTATCAACGTTTTTAGGGAAGGGACCGAGGACGGGCGGATTACATCCGACACAGAGGGAGTCAGACTGGCGCAAGTGACATTGTGGCGGGTTATGAACCCGGCGAGGTCATTGATACGATCCGATTCAGAGGGAATGCAGATACAACCTCCGAACATCAAAGTAAGTAGCACATCTCTATTGCTGACGTCGAAGGTATAGGATGCGAATTGCAAGACACGAGAGTTTGAACCCAGCCCCATCGCATTGGCATTTGCTGACGCAATTGAATAGAAGGCAGAATGTTCAGTTACTATCGCTTTAGGTTCGCCCGTGCTTCCGGAGGTAAAGATAGCATAGAGTGCATTATGGGGAGATGGCAAGTCTGATTCTTGTTTGCCCCTGTTGGTGGGCTCGGGGTCGAGCAACGGTAAAAAATCAGTGTCTAATGCAATAACACGGTCCGCCAAATCCTCAGCGAAAGATGCGTGGACTGGCGAGCACACCAAGACTTGCACAGCAGCAGACTGGCAGACATGTTGATTCAGCTTAGGTGGGTGCGATGGGTCTAAGAAGATATAGGCACCACCAACTTTTATAACACCCATCAATGCTATTACAGCCCATTTAGACTTGTCGAAGCAGAGTGCCACAAATACCTCGGGGCCAACCCCAAGCCGCTTAAGCTGAATTGCTAATCTAGTTGCGATACTGTCCAGCTCAGCATAGGTCACGTCACCATCCCAGGCAGATATAGCGGGAGCGGCTGGTTGTTGGTGAGATTGCTGCTGAATCATTTCATGTACCAATTTTGGCCGAATTGGATGCTCTAAGTTTTGATTCCACCGGAGGACACAGTGTAAATCAGCATCGCTGCAGATATCCAGATCCTTCACCCGCTTACTTTGGTGTATAAGGATTTCCTTTATTGTCTGATTAAGCGTTCCTGCAAGGCTAGCTGCTTGTTTATCGGAGAGGGCAGTGGGTGAATAGCAGATCGTCACGAAGGGAGCCTGGGTTGGGTGATTGCCCCACAGGTAAACAATAACCGGAAACTATACACCAACGATTCGATTAGTGGATACTACTAGCTTCAACTGAACCAATCCAAATTCCATACCTCATTGTCAATCGGCAGCCGTGTTGATTCAAACTGAGAGTCTAGGTCAAAGAAAATACAGCTGTTGAAATGCCAATCACCGTTCTCATGCATTTGGATATTGTCGCGCGCAGACATTGAACAGCCACATAAGCAACCCGCTAGAGGAGTTGGGCTGAGCAGATGCTGGACAATGGTAGATCCCAGGAAATGGCGGTCGTAGCTATGGATCTTGAATGCCGACAGCTTCAAGCCACCAAGATTGACATCATTTCTCTCCATGCTAACCGAACCAAAAAGGACATAATCATCCGCTGAGTATAGTCGCAGCATAATTGCCCACGCTGCCTGGATGATGATACCCCATCTTACGCCATCATCGTCCAGCCATTGTTTACTCAGGTCAGCAGTCAAGCTTTCGACAGGGATGCAGACCGTCTCTCGTTGTAGCACGCCAGGGTCGAGTGTTTTCTGCGATGGGGATGATGCTAGGGCTGGAGACAAGCCAGGTGAAACACTATTTCCCCTCATGGTGAAGGGTGGTGTGCGTCTCCCAGTATACAATTGAGACTGACAGGAAGTGCACCCGACGTTCATAAAATCACTCCTCACATGTTAATACAGAGAGAAACAGGCGACAGGTGAAGACAGAAAAATGGATAGCTTTAGTCAAAAACATCAGCCTCGAAGCGCTTGCTTCCTTCGGAGGAACCCATTGAGCAGAGGCTTTGTCAACTTCGGACCTTACGCAATACCACCATTAAGTCGGTGATGTCACCAGTTCCAATTCCAATAGGCTCGAGTATACTGTATTCGAGCTGATTGGGTGTCGAATACTTCTAGATTAGATCTGTACTTCTCTTTGCGTCGAAAACGGCTTCAAATCATGGTCACCTTACTTCTTTGTGGGACCGTTACATCAGACGTACTTAAGAATCCAACGGCAGCGGCCACTATCTCACGGTTCCAAGTTTTTGTCGAGAAGTTTGTTCTGCTGAACTATCTCTATAAACTTCCAAGAGCCCTGGGTCTCACTAGATACCTTCCGGGTGCGTAGCAGTCCTGCTGGGTTTATGCTCTGCTACATCACCAAGAAGAAAAGAGCTCTCACAGTCCGACATAGACCTGGTCCTGGGTTGCGTAGTATTGCTATATACATATAGGAGTCCTTGCGGTGATAGGTCTTTCTCATACCACTGTTCACTATCTCTGAAAGCATGACGACTTCGATCATCCCTCCAGCTTTGAATAAAGGAAACACTATCGCATTTGTCTCTCCATCTCTCCGCCTTAATGATGACTTTCCCACCCCGCTTGCCCGCGGAAAAGCCTTTCTGGAGACTTTGGGCTTCCCAGTGAAGGTCATATTCCAGAGTCTGCCACCGAATGCTACCATTGCAGACTCGGTTCGGGTACGATGTAAAGAGCTCCACGCAGCTTTTACCGATCCCGAGGTCAAGGCCATTATATGCACCAGTGGAGGCTCTCATGCAAATGAACTGATGTCTTCTCTCGATTATGACCTCATCCGAGCGCATCCCAAGATTTTTGTCGGCTATAGTGACATCACCTGTCTTCACATGGGTATTCAATCTCAGACTGGTCTCCGCACATTCTATGGTCCTACCGTGCTATCCGAACTTGCCGACTTTCCAGCACCCATGCAATTTACCGTCAACCACTTACTGCATGTTCTTTGTGAAGATAGCAAGCCAGTGGGACCTCTCCCGCGGTCCGAAATCTGCACCGCCGAACACAATGAATTTTTCTTCCGCGATGAGGCAATTGAGGTACCGCGTCCGATTGTCAGAGCACCACCCTGGAGATGGGTTCGCCAAGGCCATACAACTGGCTGCCTACAAGGTGGTACAGTGGAATACGTGGTACGGCTACTGGCAACACCCTACATTCTAACAACTCCCTGCCAGGGCTTGATTCTCGTCCTGGAATCTGCAATGGGCGATGACATGCGTCTTCCATACACGGTAGACAAGTTTCGTCAGAGTCTGGTCGAGCTTGCGATATCTGGGGTGTTTTGCAATATCACCGGATTGGTCATTGGAAGAGGCTACAAATATGACGAGCAGATGCAGGATCAGCTTGCCACGGTGGTTACGCAGGTTTTCGATGCCCTAGTCAACCCAAGCGGAAACGTGCCGGTCCTAATGAATGTCGATTTTGGACATTCGAGTCCGCTTCTTACTCTACCTCTTGGTGCAGTTGCTCGGTTGGATTCTGAAAGCGACGAGTTCACTGTCTTGGAGGCTGGAGTTCGGCCGCAAATGTAACTTACAAACCTTATTTACTTTTACATATCTATTGCGGAGTGGCCGTTATGGTCTGACTTCAAAATATGTATATTAAATAAAATCAAAAATAGTGAAGCCCAAGAAGAAGACACCTTTTATTTTTTTAAAATAGTGTCTGTCTTAGATTAGTTGTGGTTAACCGTTGAGCTTTTATCGAATAGCACACCTGTTCAAGTGACTGCTGCCCGCTGATTGGTGCCCTTTCGGTGGCTGAGTTTTCCGTAGTCCGAGTGCGAGCGGAATGTAAGAGAGATACTGTAACCCTAAAACATTTCCTGACCATCTTAATAAAATTTAAACGGATTTGGATGGGCTTAAGGCACCTTATAGGTCAGCGTATAAGCCACATCATTGCGTCATCATAGATATGTAGTAGCTATCAGTGGTACTACCGCGAGGTTAGAGTATATAGCCTTCTTCTTCCACGCTCTATGAGATACCATACGTTTATCGTATTACAGCACAGATTCCCTTTCCTTAGTATTCAAATACCCTTCCCTTAGTTGTTCACTATGCTCGAACCCGAACGTATTCACGACTTCCTAACGTGGGAAGGCGAGGGTGATATTACCAAGCTTCTCCAGGGAGATGCAGGGAATTTACTTCACGGATACTCTCACATAGCACATGAAGACATGGAAGGACATGTAAAGCGGATTGTAAGTCTTTCCTCCCCGACATACCAACAAAAAGCTATGCCCTATCTGGCTCAGCTAGTATGCTAAGGGTGTCGAAAGGCCAAAACGGCATACGATGTCTGGCACTATCCGTGCTTCCAAATGTTCTGGTTCCTTCGTTTTGAACTCTCTCGGTCCTCCGTCTACCACAGCATCCTCCAGGCCGTCAAGTCAGGCAAAGTTCTGGCAGATCTGGGCTGTGCCTTTGGACAAGATCTTCGCTACTTGACCTACCAAGGCGCCCCCTCCGAGAACTTGGTCGGGCTAGACCTACGGCAGGATTTCATCAATCTCGGGTACGAGCTGTTCAACGATCGATCAACGTTCAAAGCTCGATTCCTCACACAAGACTTCTTCGCTGATACCCCCGCAATCCTTGATCTTCTTGGGAAAGTTGACATCATCAACGCAGGTTATTTTCTCCATTCTTGGGATTGGGATGGTCAGCTACAATGTTCGAAAAGGATGATTCAGTTGATGTCTCCTAGCCCGGGGGCGATTATGACCGGTATTCAATTTGGAAGCCATGCCACAGGGCTGTGGTCTACCACCCCAAGCGGTGTAGAGGCTGGACCCATATTTTTGCATGATAATGATACATTGAAAACATTGTGGGACCAAGCAGCCCAGGAAACGCAGACTTCATGGGATGTTCAAATCACCGTCGAGGAGGACCCAGAATGTACTTCATTCGATCCCCAAGGTTGCCATTTGCGCTGGGTCGTGACGAGGAAATAGGCTTATCAGACGTGCTTCGTCCAATACATATTTGCCTTTGTCGCCCTCTATTGAATCACACTATAGCACTGCCTCCCCAGTTCTTCCTGTAGAAAGTGTAAGATTCATAGTAGCTGTGTTCAAGCCAGAAATTCAACATCAAATCCCCTTTCCTTATACGACCAGGTTTCTGATGTAAACTATTCTACTTCTGTCTATTTGTAGCATGAGATATTCGTTCAATGGATCATTTCAGGTATTAGTATGAGACATGCGACCTATAAAACCGGCGCTCCTCCTTGCTGGACAGGGGACGAAGCTTCAGGATGCTTGGGTGAATGCTATGCCTGTGATACCTAACACAGAGTTACATAAGCTTTCCTACAATCAGGGAATAAAGCGCATCTACTATGAGAGCTAAAAATATATGTACTAAGGGGCTAAATGATATGAGTGCCAAGCCCTTCTATAAACTGGGTCCCTTCAATACATTTTCCATGGGCAATTGTCACGTATCGATGGGATATTCCCTCATAAATATAACAATCAGAAGGCCTAAGGCCGTGCCACTCACGGCAAGTACTGGGTATATTATGTTAGCTGGCAATAACACCTAAAGGTAAAACGGCCTAGTTCTTTGAAACTCACTCAATACGCTCTGGAAGCTATCCAGGTAGGCAGTGCGGACGAGGCCTTGGACGGGTTTAGGGAGCGAGGGGAGGGCACGATTGTCGTTCAAGACAGTTTTAATAATCTGACAGTACGTTAGTATCTGAGATCAGATAGCGAAACAAGGGCAGAAAAACAGAAGGTGAAAATAAAGAAACGCAATGGCGGGAGAAAAAAAAGCCAAAGTACCTCGGAAGAGTTGGGGAGACCTTTCAGCAGCGATTGCAGGGCGTCAGCCAACACCCTTTGTGATAATAAAGCAGCAACTGCCACACCAAGGATCATTCCCAGCTGCTGGGCGAGCCAGTAAGTAGTTATAGACGAGTTAGCGTGTTCGGAGGGAGTCCGGACTGAAATGGCCACAAATTGAGCCGCAACAAGGCTGCCCACTCCTAGGCTACCGAGGCTGGCTGGTATCAAACCCAGATAGCTAGGACTCTGGCGCCAGAGCAGGCCTGCGATAGTATAAGAGGCCTTTGCGAGGATAACACTGATTATTGATAGAATTTTGTACTTCAAGGTTCTGCCCACGACTATTTAGCTACGTACGCAAAGAACGATGTGAATATATACTTCTTAATTATATGACCAGCACCAACCGAGCCAAGGGCGACGGCCAGAGCTAGTGGAAGAAGAACAAGGCCAGCAGTGGAATTATTAACTTGGCGGATTCGTACAAAGAAAGTCGCCAAGTTGGCGATAAGCTTATTTAGTATGTAAGACGATAGTCAACCGTGTTACCGCAATGAAGCAGCACTTACTGCAAATTGTGCGAACATGATGACCGTCTGCAACAAGCAGAGAACACCAGAACCATTTCGTTTTATTTCACGGATGGGGATCAAGGGATCCTTGGCGTAGAAAACCTCGGTGAACACTAGACTCACGGTGGACAAGAGAAACACCACGAATAGGGCTGCCACCCAAAGGTTATCCTTCATTCTAGATTGCTGGATGATCTGGAGGAGTATCACTAGGCTCCCAATGGCAGCGGTCATGAAGCTGAGACCGAGCACGTCCAGCTGCCGAAACTCTCCCTGCCGAGAGTTACACCCTGATGTTCGAGGACACTGCAATGCTGTAATCAGCAGAATAACAAGGATGATGGGCACCTGGCCGGCAAAAGACCTTTCTCCTGTCAGATTCTAACCCTGTACAGTGTTTGGCCCCAGAATAAGAAAAGAAAAAAGAAAAGAATAGGACCCTACCACCGCCAACCGATAGAATCCATCAGCAATCCTCCGAGGGGAGACCCGGAGCACACGCCTACCATGGAGACGAAAGATAGATAGCCACGTAGGACTGCAACTTCGGATATGGGTAATAGGTCTGTTAAAGAGGCTTAGTTGGGTATAAAGTGATCCAAAGTTCTGTTAGAACTACCGTTGATCATAATCGATACCACATCAACCAGTCCCGATCCGCCAACGCCAGCGATCACCCGAGCTGCAATCAACATCGGCATGGAGACTGCGACACCTCTTTCGATGACCGTTAGTACAATCCACCCGCTAGCAGTCTATTGTGGATCCACCCACGTACGTAATGAGCGAGCCAAAGGCAAAGGTTGTAAGCGCTGCGAGCAGGATCGGCTTATGTCCGCATGTATTGCAAAGATATCCGTACTAAATCTCTCGCCCATGAAATTAGGTAACTTGATCCAGGTATGTACAACAGCAGCCCTAACGTGAGGTACATACCAAGGGTAGAGCAACACAGTACCCTAGGTTATAACTGCATAGAATCCACGGTCCAAACGATGACTGCCGGAATTGACCACCGATCTCTTCACTGTTGGATAAGACAAATGATTCATCGGCCATTGCGAGGAATGTCCCTTCATTACAACAGAGTCAGTAGTACTCCATGAAATAAACCTTTGATTCACGAGGAGAGAAGACAACGTACCAGTCATGGTGGCAAGCAGAAAGATCTTACTGATTCCTTCCTTTACCTCCTGATTGGCATGGGGCTGGCCACTGTTCAACAAAGGTGATGATTCGTCCATCACGCTGTTCCTTGGTTTTGCTAGAGCGAAGTCTTTTAGGGTTGTGATAACTAACAGTATCCTCCAAATAGTTGCGATGTTCGAATACGTAATTAGATCCTGAAATTTCCTGTAGCTATACAGTGGAAGTGCTAATGATGAGGTTATATTGAAGAAACCTAACGTTCGTCGAAAGCTGGAACCAGTCTCGGTATAAGTCGTGACTGCGCTGAAACCCTCAGGCCATCAAAGGGGTCCGTGCGTTCGTTCCAGCCATCCGTTTTCATCTCTAATACTGCTTAAGTACTCGTCCCCAGCACTACAAAGAGGTGTCTGCCAATCGCTAGGCCAGACACTTAAGTGGATACATTTGGGCTCCTGGTATCCACGCCACAAGTTATGACATAAACTGTGCCCCTTTGATTCGCTCAATAGAGGAATAGAACAAATGTGGGTTCGCCTGCTGCGAGCCAATTCGGTCCGCGTTCAGTGACCACGGGCGGTGACTCTGACACCCTTACCCGGACCCATATAGCCTGGCTATGTAGGCCCAAGAACAGGGAAGTAGCTGGGTGTCTGCGATCACGAACAGTGCTGTAATGGATCTGCTTATACAGGGCCGAAGACCTGTTATTTAGGTGAGAAGTAGACCTCGCCGTGACCCGCAGGTGGCCTAGCTACACAACCTTCAACCAAAACTCCTGTTAAATTGAAGCTGCTCTGGCCGAAAATAGTGTTCCTCTATCTAGCAGAGAAGTTGATCACCTTATTTCTATGCTAATGTTGCTATAATATAATATAGCGTGATTTCCTGTCCGGTTTGTTGCCTCTTTCTTGCCTTATCATATATTTCAATTCCTTTTCATCAATAATCAGCCCTATTCTCCAAGACAATGTGATCGTCATGGCGCGCTAACCTATAATAGGGAAAGTGCTACTATTGGAAGTGCGAGATTCCGCCGTATTACCTAGTAATCTACCGCTGAATTCTAATGGGTGCAAAAATAATGAATTGATGAGGTCCAAATCCTGATCTAGTGGTAAAACGAGCGATATTTATAGGCTTTAAGACGATCACTAAATCATGCGATATCATGATGATACAGGATGATACAGGATGATGATATATGATGATCATGGCCTAGAGTAGTAATCAAGGCGCTATTCTAAATGGAGTAGGTCGGTGGCTGACGGTGGAGCCTTTGTGGTAATTTCGGTTGACACTATATCAGTGGTGGGACCGACCACCTTTCGCCAGTGGGTGGTCGGCAGCGTAGAGGAAGATTTTGAAGCAATTCGCACTTCAACGCCTAGAACCTGTAGGAGTACACAGGTCAACCTAGCTACTCTGAAGTCTCGCGTGACCCATACCCCCAACACGTGACTGCCAAGCCAATTACTCAGCAACTTGATCTCGTGTGACCTATTTAATACTTTACATTAGTAGCCAGAATTCATTTTACCTTTACTTATTTTATCTTTACATATCAGTATTTTCTTTAAGCACTTCGGAACTGGTTTTTAAGCAGTTTAAAGATGGAACCTACTGAGCCTAGTATTTGTCTTGATAATAATCTCTTTAGATAGGAGAACACTGACCAAGAAATAGAAGTATATTTCCTCTTTCTAAGAGAAGCGGTTCTTAATCAATTACTAACTAGTTAGGAACTAACTATATCTATCCCTCTTACTAATGCAAAGAACTCTCCCCTTACAATACTTAAACTTAAGTATATTGATAATCTTCTAGAGTATCCAACTAGTCATATCCATGGATATATATATGTTATTGCAGCAGGGGGAAGCTCACAGACTGAAATGGAGTAGATACTATATAAAGTAAGTATAGACTAGTGCTTTATAAGTACTTACTAACTACTTAGTTTTAATATACTAAGAAGCAGAGCTATAGACAGAAATATCCTATTTATTGTTCTTTCTTATCATGCCAGGTTAAAAAATAGATCTGGAAATGCTCTGGTATCCTTATATATAAATATCTTAGTCTAACTCTTTTATCTTGTCATTATATATCTGTTAATAAGGCTATCTGGAAAAAAATTCAAGAATCTTAGTGTCAGATTCAAATTCTTGAGTCAGATATTCGCAAGCGGAATATCTATAGGTAATATTAATATAACTAGTTAGAAACTGGTTTCTAACTACTTTCTAAGTATATATATTAAGAAATACTAATATTTATAGTTCTGCTAAACTGGATAAGGATAATATCTTATAATATCAAAATTTCCAGCAGTTAAATATTTATTATTTCTATCGGATATTAAATATGGAGATAAATTACCTATTGTTGGAAATCTAGGGTATTGATAGCCTAGATATCCTTAGGCATGCGATCAGGGGAATTGATCAAGAGATAAGATAGATAATAGATAGATAGATATCGGGTAAAACCCATAGAATGAATTGACTAGATAGACATGACTATAGAATGATAGAATGAGATTGATTAAACTGCTTCAATCTGATTAATCTGAATCAATCTGGTCTGTAGAATAGATGGAAATGTAAGTCTATTTATGTTGAATAGGTGTAGACCTTAGGCCTGCAACATATGATAAAAATAGCATCTCAAGAATGAGATAGAAATGTATAGAAATGTATAGAATAATCAGGATTGCATGATATATCATCACATGATGTTGGATCATGTGACCTCCAGTTCAACACCTATAATATATAAGTTAAGAAAATAAGTAAATGTCTAACTAGTTATTAAGTAATTACTAACCAGTTACTTTAGAAGACTATAAGCGCTGACACTCAATATTCTTAAGTATTTCTGAAGTCTAAAGTACTTCATAATTACTTAGAGACAGTAAAAGACCAGCTGTCTCAAGATCTTTCTCTTAAAGAGAAGATAATGAGTAAGTATCTTTAAGTACTTAGAAAGTACTTCTTTAGTACTTACTAACTAATTAGGTCTATATAATCTTCACAGATACTATGTCATGTTACCTTAACAAATACACTAAATTTAGAGCAGAGATATCAGGAGCTTAAGCTTTAAAAAATAGAAATAGATGTCACGGGTAAGCCTTAGGCTTAAGGCCCTGATGGCAAGTTGCGATACTATATATACCGCGCCTGGGAAATCAACTCCAATCGGAGTTGATCATAGTGGATCTTTTTACCTAGTGGGAAGATCCTACGCATTGAATTACTAATCCCAGGAGTAATCCTTTACAATAGAACTAAAAAAAATAGGAGAAGGAAATTTGTCTGAAGCAGCTTGAGAATAAGAAGTTAGAACTAGATCTTATGGAGCAGTGAATTTAAATACAGGAGCGACAGTTAAGTAGCTAATAACCAGTTTATAACTACTCAGTAACTGGTTAATAAATACTTGGTGCTTACCACTCTTTATATATATATATATTCCGCACATTTACTCTAAGAGTTTACTTTCACTAATATTATAAAGCAACTGTTTTCTAACCTGTCTTAATTACTTAACCCTTTAACCTACTACTCTTTTAAGAAGTAACCTGCAATACTTATTAACTATGAAAAATGAAAAGACTATTAACTGCTTGCAAATCAGTTATAAACTAGTTCAGGCCTCAGCACCTAGTTCATCCTCTATGTCCACCTGAGACGCAGGAGTCGGGCAGACCGAACCACAATCAAAGAGAATAAAATAATCATATTTATTCATATTCTTACAGCAGTCATTGTGCTTTCCACAAGAGTCACAAGGCACCTTATGCCCAAGCTCAACAACTTTCTTACACATATTAGTCACATGAACCTAAGCAGTTAGCAACCAGTTACTATGTACTTTAGAAGTAGTTCAGAACTACTTACAGTACCATCCTTTTTTATGGGCAGGATAGGAGTGGAAGGACTAGCAGTTTGAGTGCTAGAAGTACTATCCTCTACTGACTTCAGGGATTCCGCACCAGAGAAAAGACTTTTGTAGAATCCTAAGCAGTTCCTAATCAGTTCCCAAATACTCTTTAATCAGTGGATATTATCTACTGATTGCTTTATCCATTTCCTTCTGTGAGACATGTCCACCAACCAGGCCCTCTTCCAGTTTGATACCATCATGGATGAGCAAATGGGTATGGAAATTATTCGTCGCGGTATATTTCTTCTAAGCAGTTCCCAACCAGTTAGCAAGCACTTAGATAGACAGTAAATATACTCACCTGAGCTCTCACGCAGTCCGGGACCCGACAGAAGAGTTCACCATAGTAAATCACATAAGACCAGAATTATAATATCGCCTCCCATCGTAACCTTATACAAAAGGCCGAAGGTAGAGGCCAGGGCAAATAATACCATTAATCCATCTATCCATCCTCATGCTGACTGTCGTGACGGACCATTGTCATCTATGTGTGGAAGCCGCGTGCTGATCGCACCCTCAGAACAACCAATCCCTTCATATCCGGGAATAGAATCTTCTTGAAAAACCAGTTCTTCGGGCGTCCCCTGTTATCCTTGGGTGTGATGTCGTAATGAAGCAAAATGTAGCCCAGCATGAGGCGAATCTCGTCCGCGGCCATGTACCGACCCGGACTATGAATCAAGCAAAGTCTTAACAGTCATTCTTGTGGAATCAGCCGGGGGATGTTTGAGCTGGAACCTACCAGGTGTGTCTTGCATCACCAAATTGCAGATACTTGGAGTTCGTCGCCACAAACCGGAAGTCCTGCGGTTTGCCCGTTTGTTGCCCAAGCCGATAGAATCGGTATCCATCGAACTCATGCGCATTAGGATAGTTTCTCTCGTCAAACAAGATCGGCGCGTTCGGTGCGAAAACATAAGTGCCTTTCGGAACCTTTAGCCCGGTGCTAAAAGTGAAATCCTTTGTGGCGCATCTTGCCAGTGACCCTGTACCATAATGTGTGTTCAATGCTGTATTTTCTTCTCCAAAGGGGGATTAGAACAATGACGTACCTGAGTCAAGGGGATTCCAGCGTTGGCATTCTTTGATAAAACTGTCAATCTTGAGCATGGATTCAATTGTATCCTTCTTCCACCCTCCGTGACGATCAAACGCCTGCTGCGCCTCGCTCCTCAGCGGATCAATGTATTCGGGCCGAGTGGCGAGTTCGAATAGACAGTGCACGAGAACCTGGGGATACGGAGGATCAGTCCGAGTCCATCGCCCAGGGCAAGCGGACCCTTTTATAAGCTTACCTGCGTTGTTGTGTGAATCGCCCCAAACACTGCGGAAGTGATAGATCGAGCAATATCGAGTTCGCTATATTTGCCCGGCTCATTTTGCCGTGTCCAGTGCCAGAGCCAGCTCATGATATCCTGGGCCCAATGTTCAGCGCAACCAAGACTTTCACAAGACCAACGCATGGGGAGCCTCACACTTGCTTCGCCTCCGGGGTGCAGATGTCGCTCCTTCATTTCGTTCAGAAAGATTGTATCCAGCCGGGCCGATATCCGTGGGGCTTCGCAGAACTTGGCTACGAAACTGTGGACCAATGAGTTAACAGAGGTATACATAAGAACTCTTCCTATGCTATACATACGGCCGTAAAAAGCCAGGGAACATCGCAATGAAGAACCCGCTTGTTGGCACCGCGTTGCCATACTGGGCAAAGAGCTCGATGACTTCTGGGTCGCGGCATAGCGGATACCCCACCAAAGACTTGGCCGTAAGATGTGCGACAATCCTCGTCCCAGTCTCGAAACAACAAAAATCGTATGGTCCTATCACCTCGATATCAATATGTCGGTTTTCACCTGGCACATGGTTTAGGTGTTCCCACCGTTACTGGCAATTTTGACCTCCGCCTCCCACGCGTGCAGAAACTCCGTAACAAATTCACTAAAGTAGGGATCGTCCGCAGCGGTGGACCGATTGCGCTGCCAGGTCAGGCCCTTCGAAAGGAGTGGAACGGGGATTTTATGAACCCCTTCTGCTGCGCCGGGGGCTGTCCACCTGGTTTGGAACATCTATAGCAGCCGGATCATCAGCAGTAACCCAAACCAATATTTGGACCTATCTCAACATGCCGGTGGACTCACATCTGCAGTGACTGCATTGGCCGAGAACTGGTTGTCCATCAGGCTTTTGTACTCTTTGATCATCTTCTCATTGCAGATGAATACTTCCCAGCGGCTGGGGGTCGCAACCTTAAAGGCGTAGTCTCCATGCTGGACCCCCGATAGTTAGCCCGGCATAATGGAGAGTTGTATATCAATGTTATTGGGACAGACCTTTTCATACCCTTCCTGGATCAGGCTGCGTGCTTTGTGTTGCCATTGGAACGCAGTAACCCATGAACCAAGGATACCATGTTTACCGACGGATGGGACGTCGACCTGTTGCAGCATCAAACCATGAAACACATGTGGTGAACGACGAGAGACATACCCAGGATTTACGGGATTGGCGCCAGATACTTATAATCCAAATTAGGCTGAGTAGGCTAAGAGCAACCGCCCACGGATAGCCGCTGAAAAACATCAACGACTGTATATCGCTTGTTCTAGCCAAAGGTACGGCCATTTTCACACGGCAACGCTGGATTGAGGTGCTCAAGCCGGGCTTTCGGTCAATGGTACCAATAAATTCTGACAGAGGCCTGCAGGGTTCAAAGAGGTGCGTGCTCATTAAATGACCCAAAAGTTATTAATCAAACATCTAAGGGAAGAGTACTGTCAGTACACAGCTAGGCCCTCGACATATCAGCCAGCTGGTGGTCTTAATGCAGCCAGATTACGTACCTTAGCCATTCGGTGGAGAGGGAAAATCTGCTACTGTGAATCCTATGTTTAGGTAGAATCCAAAAAAAAAGAAAAGAAAAAAAAATCGTCCTGCGCATGACAATGACAACAAGATGCATGGAGCACTGGAAGTACTTGCATGACTACACAGTATTTCTTGGTTTGGGCATGTGGGCAGCATACCCTGCACGAATCTGCAGCAGAATGATTGCAAATAGATTCTGATCGGCAGCTTACAGCTTACCAAGCTGCTTTGTATCTGCTCTAGACATTGATTGTGGATCATCTACCTAAGAAGTTGCCTTAAGGCTAATGAAAGTTAGTACCCATGCATCAGGGCAGATCCCATCTAGACCTCCACGGGTACCGGCAGAGCTAAAACAAGCAAACATAATATTAGATAAATTACTGTATGGGTGGGTGCTTGGCTGTTCTTTCATCCAAGCTCAAAACCGGAATCCTTGTTTTTGCGATAATCTCCATGCATCCTCAGCCGAGGATGATAACGCAACCTGCAGGTGCACAATGACCCACTGACGATGTGACACTACCTGCAGAGGCAGGCTCGGATATTGATGGCATGTGGATCTGGTTCAAGTGGCGTATTGCCCTGATCAAGTTCAAAGCTTTGTATGTACAGTACAACGTTGCTCCTGAGTAAGAAATACGTATTCAGAATTGCATTTTGCCAGTTCAGGGTAATACAATACATACCGCCATTCATACGAGTATTTTACGCTGTACATTTCCTAACAACCCTATCTAGGACCCAACTCCGAACGCTGAACAACACGCATGGGCATACCACCTGCAGGCCCTGGCCCCGTGCCGCTCAGAGTAACATAGGCGGGACCACCGTAAATGTCCGGTCCTCTACTAGACCGGGATTCATATGCCAATTCAAAATCAAACTCCCGGACAACCAGGAGTAGTACCAATTTGAGCTGGACGAGCGCCAGCTCCTGCCCAGTACAGTTTCCCCGACCTTTCTCAAACGGCCTCCAAGCGTCAGAAGGTACTTTTGGTCTTGAGCCAGGCATGAAACGGTCCGGATCGAATTTGTCAGGCTCAGGAAAAAGATCAGGCCGGCGGTGCATCGCGGTATGGAACAGAACGACCTGTAGCGAGGTTTCGTGTCAGTCGTGAGCATAATACCCCTCGGACGCAGAAGCTTACGATATGGCCCCGGAGAGAGTATATCTGGCCATCATTCGATATAACAGTATCGCTGTCGAGTCAGCTCCTCTCCGCAGGCACAACGCAGAATGGGATATCTACCTGCTTGGTTGCCTGAGAATCACCCCCATGGAAAACAGGCGAAGTGTTTCTTTGACCACGGCGAGCGTGAATACCAGTTGGTTTAATCGCTCGGGATTCGTCTTCAGCAACTGCAAGGTAATGTTTCTATCCGAGCTGAAAATGTCGTCATGTTCTGCTTGTACACGGCGTGCGATATTGGGATGCTGATGTAAAAGCATGAGGCAGTACTTGAACGCAGTTAATAAATACATTGATACAGTCATGGACAGCCGCTCGTGAGGTACCATAGACGTACCGACAGAGCAGCACTCCCACTAACAGCTGCCAGAAAAGCGCCAGCACAGCTACAGTTTGCCATGTTAGCGATGCCGACACTAATGCCCAGGTGTTTTGCCACTGACCTGGAGACCAATTCCTGTACATATTCCTCCGACATTTCTCCATTCTGGCATGGACTTGACAAGAACTGTGGTAACTTGTCTCCCAGGTACGCTGTAAATGACGAATGTAGAAGCGATGGCTTCGGTCGCACTTTGCTGGTCTGTTCCCGGAAGCATGCACAGATCTCCTCCCTGATCAATGCATGGAAGACCTGACATCGTTTCCTCCACTTTCCCATTATGAAAGGGCGTTTGAAAGGATTCCTGGCCGCGGAGATAAAACTCACGGCTCCATCGTAGGCGGCACTCCATTCACTATGGTCCGCGAACGTACCTAGCTGCCTCGCGAAAATGGCCCGCCCCGTCATTTCGAGAATAGCCAATTTGGCCATTTTTTCCATCTTGAATACCTGGCCGGTTTGGGAGTATTGCACCAGCATTTGTACCATGGGTCCCAAATCTTCCGACATACGAGGAATCATGCGGACGAAATGGGCCGCTGTAAAGGATACCCCGAATAGGGCATGGTTCTTGACCCAATTGTCGCGTGACAGTGTCTCGATCCACCTGCGAGTTGCGGCCGGCTTTAGGGGTTGGAAAACGCCTGGGCAGCGAGGAGCTCTATCTTCTAGTGTGATCTTGCGGGCTATTTTTGGGTCACTTATAACGACCACCGGAGGAAACATTGGATAAAGATCTAGGAAGAAGATCGGTGGTAGGTCAAACTTTCGCCGTACCCCATCTAGAATGTAGGCTGGGAACATGTCCTTAGGGGAGCTCATCCATTCGCGTAGGAGAAGCAACCAATGACCGAAAACAAGGGTATCGGGAGGTTTGGGCTTAGCGATAATATTAGTCCTCGATCAGCCACCCGAGTACATGGCTGCAATCGTTTGATGTGTAGCTTTCCTTACCAGATTGGAGAACTTTTTTCGAGCGTAGGTTACTTTGTATAGGAACAGCACGACAAGCGAACTGGCCAGAAGGCCAAAACCTTGATAAATTATTGTCATGTTCGAGCTTAGCATTTCAGTCAGATGGGGAGTGATAGCTAACACACCGTGTATTTCTAAACTAAGGGCAAAGACTCTCTCCTATATAAGGTATTTTACGGAAAAAGTATGTCAATACATCGGATACTGCAGCCTTGCTTCCTGATATCGTACTGTAACATAGTATGCTTCCTTTTCTGCCTATTTTGCCTTTTTCTTTTTTCCCTTGTCGGCATCTACAAAGTACGGTCAGCATAGACCCTTTTAAGTTTACCTAACAGCTGCAGCTTGGGTTACTACCCGGCTTCCGTGGTTTCATTGGGCGATAGTAAAATGGGGTTCTGCGTGAGAATTCAAGGCCGGGTTCCCTAAATGACACTCTCGCTGTAGTACATACATTGATTTCACTCGAGAATAACAAGCCAATAGCTTCGTACTGCGAGAAGAGTGCATGACGCCTGATGAGAGCCGAACTAGGTCACATTCAGCCGAATTCATTATCACACCGCATACAGGCAAGTGAGGGGGGAATCAGTGGTTCGATCACCGTCTACAAGATAGGTTGTCTTTTTGCGTTCCCGCCATAAAGAGGCCATTTCTAATTTCTGCCCTGACCTGCCAGTATTAATTTATTTTCATTACTCAATTATTACACCGTCTAAAGAAAGTCATCGGCTTCAATCGGTCCTTGCCTCTCTTCAAAGTGATCCAAATTTCAGTAAAAATGAGAGAAACAGAAAGCCAGCTTCCAACGAACAAGACCACTGGGTATGACACGGTCTACGCAGTAGACTTCTATCATTCTATAACTCAGATCCCTGGGTTGCTACAGGACGCATTCATCTATCTCGGTGCCTATCAGCAAGCATTACAGTTACGTATAAGCCAGCCTACCCAGGAGAGTCCCTTCGTGATACTAGATGTTTGTACGGGAACTGGGCGAGTCATCCGGGACCTGGTCGCCCACCTGTCGCAACGAGGGGATGCCCTCGACGCAACCAAGTTCCTGGGGTTGGACATATCACAGCTGATGCTGGATCAGGCAGCCAAGCTTCCATTAGCATCTCCCACTGCCGATGTGACTTGGATCCAGGGCTCTGCCTTGGACCTAAGCGGAGTTCCAGCTTTCTGTGATGGCTCGCTGAAGGTTGATCTTCTTATTATCGCCTTCAGTTCAATTAGCCACTTCATCGAACCGGGTCAAGGAGCCCAATTTCTGCAGGAGGTTGCTCGGGTGCTCAAACCAAGGACCGGTAGAGCATATGTCTCTATGCGGGACATCACGTCAACTGTTCATTCCGATCCGGCAACTAGTGGAGGCGAAGTCCAACGTCAGGAACTGCCTAGCTCTGTTTTGCCGGGCATCAGCTATTGTCAAATCGGCAACCAGGTTCAAGTCAGTGACAATGTGGTTTATGTGATTAGCGATGTCGAGGTATTGAATGGTGACGGGAATATCATCGGGACCGAATTGGCCACTACGGCATTTCGCATCTGGAAGGAAAACGAACTCCAGACCGTCGCTTCCAACGTGGGTTTGAACCTCTTGGAGATTGTAGAGGAAGGGGGAGAGAGCTTTTACGTGTTGCAACTTCCCTGAGGTTAATATACAATTGTTTGTTACTGGAACTATACATGAAGCAATATATGCATTATTTGGACCTTTAGAAATGGCAATCGTAGAGCTTCAATTGCACCTGCAAATTCAAGACTGCAGCGCCTGTATTCAAAAAATGTTTTCCCTCACTTTCTCTGTCCTCCCAGCGCTGGAAAGGGATTTCGCTCCCATTGTAAGGGTTGTCTATTTCATTCACATGAAGAGGAACTATTTCCTTGGCCCCATTTTTACAATTGTCGTGTATATATGCTCGATACGGTATTAAATACTAGTGGTAGGAAAAAAAGCAGATTTGAAAATTCCGTAAAGATACATACCGGCCAAGAAAGACGGAGCTACTGGCATTAGGATTCGCCCTATATGCATGATCCGGTGGAGCAGGGCAACTGCACAGGCTGGAAAGCCCGCCAATACAATTGATAGGAAATATTGTTAACAATCAACTATTGAAAGTCTGTATCCACTATGCCCACAGGTGTCTCAGTTTTCATTTCTGCCTTGGATAGTGTATCCTCATCCTTGTAGGTACGCGGCAAGTCCGAGTGTACCCTCTGCACGTTCTAGATTGACACATACATTGACGTTGTCATTCCTTCTTCGGCATGTGGTCAAGTGGAGCAGTGACTATTGGACGCATATGACTGTGAAAAGGGTTCCTTTTACTACACATTAGCTGACCAGGCCCCCATCCAGATCACTCCCTGCTCTCCAGTCCGTCTCAAAATACAACGAAGCTCCCCATGTTAGCCCAACTTTTCCAGGTCGTACAATTCCTCCGCGAAGAGGCAGGCCTTATCTGGACTTGTGTCACCTTGGTGCTTTTTGTCTACCTTCTGCTTCCTAAGCCAACCTACAGCACCAATGTCAAGGTCCCAACGGTCAAATTTGGCAGCCCTTGGATCCCAGAAATTCTAAATCGCATACTCTTCAACACCTACGCCCCATCAGTGATTTATGATGGTTACAGCAAAGTAAGATCGAATCCTGGACACCACGGTGTTCGTGTATAATGACATGTGTCTAGTATAAGAAGTCAGCCTACAAGATTCTGAAACCGGACGGAGACCTGGTTGTTCTCTCGACCAAGTATGCCGAGGAGCTGCGGCAATTGCCATCGTCGACTCTTAATGCTCTCGAGGCAACATTTACGGTGGGCTTTCCACAATTGGGATCTCTTATAATTCGAAGCTCACAACGAGTGCCACTAGGATCATGTTGGCGACTATACGACAATTCTTACTGACAGCCATTTACACACAGAGGCAATCCAAAAGCGGTTGACTCCAGCAATTGGTAAGTTTGAACCTTGTTAGAGATAGCATATATGACACGAGAAAACGGGAAGGGAAAGGTAAAGCAAAGAACACAAAGCCTGACCCATGTTATAGGGAGGCTCATCCCTAGGATTACTTCCGAGCTAGATTATGCGTTTGAAGTCGAATTCCCACGTTGCGACGGTATGCTAATCCCGGGTGACGAACTAAAAACAGCCAGCGGTCAAAGAGAGACACTGACTGATCCTTCCTATAGACAAATTCGTTGCAATAAATCCCTATGAGGTCTTCCTTCGCCTCGTTGCCCGGGTCGGCGCTCGCATCTTCATCGGTGACGAGTTGTGCCGCGAGGAGAAATGGCTCAATGCCTCAATCTCCTACACTAAAGACATCTTCTTGACCATTGCACTGATGCGGCCTTTGCCTGGTTTCCTCCACCCGATCGTCGGGCGCATCCTCCCCAGCAGTAGAAGCCTGGACCGCCAGTTGGTGTACGTCAAAGAGGAACTCCTCGGACCTGTTATTGAAAAACGCCGAAGGATGGAAGCAGCGTCGGACCCCAACTATGAGAAGCCCGATGATTTCCTCCAGTGGATGATGGACCTAGCCAAAACCGAGAATGAGTCGCATCCACACAATTTAGCCCAGCGACTCCTAGGGATTACCAGTATGGCTGTGGTGCACACCAGTGCAATGAGCCTAACCCACATCTTGTACGACCTTCTTGTCATGCCGCACTGGCTGCAGCCGTTGCTCGATGAAGTTCAGACTCAGGTTCCAGATTGGAAAAATGTTACCCAGGCCGAGCTTAATAACTTGAAATTCATGGATGGGTTCTTGAAGGAATCGCAAAGGCTTAACCCACCTGGAGAACGTGAGTTGTTACAAAATCGTAAACCCTGATACGCATAAAAAGCTAACCAACATACTCTGGGTCACAGTGGCCTTTCACCGCGTCGTGAAGCACGATCTGACACTATCCGATGGGCTGCTCCTTCCCAAGGGCACCCATATCTGCATGGCCTCTGGCCCCATATCGCGGGATCCTGAAGTCATTGGAGATCCTGAGGTGTTTGACGCTTATCGTTTTATCAAACAGAACACTGCGACATCGGGGTTTGTGAGTACAGGCCCGAACAACATGCATTTTGGTCTGGGCCGGTACGCGTGTCCTGGGAGATTTTTTGCATCCTTTGTGATGAAGTTAATCCTCAGTCATTTTCTGATGGAGTATGAGTTCCGTTTCAGCACCGAGCAAAAGGAGAGGCCAAAGAATCTCTTGATTGGAGATAAGATCGTGCCGAATGTCTCGACGGCAATCCTGATCAAGAAAAGGGTTTCTGATGTCTAAACATGGCTGAGGGACGTCTATGTTTGCTTTTGTCGTATCGTAGACATGCTGCTAGATAAAAGTCATCATTCAGCGCCTATTACTGCCGGTGAAGTATCTAGACGAATGTGGGACCATTTCCGCCATGAAGCACTTTAGCATTGAGATAGCTCTTTCAATAGGCAATGAAACTATTAGATAGCAACCAAATTGCCCTGGACTGCACCGGGCAGGGATCCCCTTTCTACGCTTCCAGAAGTAATCAAGGCTGTCATTATATACAGCTTATAAGTTGCCCGCTGATCTTATTGCAATGTTTCTTTACATATGGTACTGTCTACATCCCTATCCCTACATTACTCCACGAAGTTCCAGTAATGTTTCCGTCCATTTCCCAAGCCAACAAAATATATATCTTTATTAGTTTATTTCCATATCCTAGAGATCACTTTACTTCTAAACGAATATACATTTTTGCGTCGTTGTGCACAAAGCCCGATGGCATCCTACGACCGATGCCAATACTAGTAATAGCATCACTTCGACTTGCTGTAGGTCACTGACTCTCTTTTATTACTCATATTACATTTGAGAAATATATGTAGATGTCTAGATTCCGTTCGAGCAAAATTGAATTTATAATCCAAGGTATACAACAAAGTAGAATTCAAAATTACATCTAGCACAGCATTATGGACGGTCTCTACTAGGCAACCCTTAGGTGGGCAGACTAATCAAAAATTTGCCATTTGCATTCTCCTTGCTCAATACACCCGATACAAAGAACAGTCCAACCTCGACATGACAATATCGGGAAAGCTCATGCCTTTAAATCAAGCTTCTCCTTCCTACCCCACAATTCCAGCCACTCCTTCACGGAGGCACCCGACCTCGCTAGCTCTGCCATGCATATGTCACGCACGCAGTCGCACCGGATTACTTTGAGGGCGTTGCGAATATTCTGGGGCGACGGAGATTCCAAGGCGGCGGTCACCCAATGGCCATCGGGCGCATCCAATGCCAGCACGATCGGGTATGTCATTTCGCGGTTACGCAAGTCCTCGGCAATCGAGCCCTTCAACTTGGCATACTCGGAAGAATAAACATTTTTGCAGTCGTTCTGCAGCTGCGAGACCCAGCTATATATGTGTTAACCCGGATGTATAATGTGGAGAATGGGAGGAATAACGTACGCAACCAGGGTCAGGGTCTCATCCATAGAATCATTCTCAAGGACTAGATGGCCCAGTAGACGGAATAATGCACCTGTCTTGAGAGAGGCCATTCGTCGATACGCCGCGACCCTGTCTGTAGCAGCGGTAGGGAAGCTACTAACCCCATCCCTGCGCCAAACAAGAGATATGTCTTGTCCCTCAAGAATATCCTGAAGATCTTGCATCAGCCACGGTGCAAGATTAGGAAACTCCTTGGTCGTTTGATTGAGGATTTGGGTAACTCTATAGTAGGCGCGATTCGCGGTCTCCGATGGGCCGTAGATATTGTGAGCCGCGGGTCGTCCTTTGCGGTACTCGCTTCCATCAGCGATCTGGGACTGTTAATCAGGGCATAAAATGTCCAGGTTGAAATCTCTCACATCATCTACTAACATCAGGCAGAGGTGGATGGCATCCATAATCTCCAACACCATCTGGTACTTGGAACCATCGTCGCTTCGAAGGGTCGGGGCTAGCTTGTTGACAAACGGTGCCCAATGATACTTGCCATAGATTTGTCGAATGTAGTCGTAGGGACACTCAAAAGAGGTGATGCTCTCAGGATGTTTTTGTCCGATCAACTGGGCCTTTTTGTCCCACCACCGAGGGACAGGAACATGATCAATAAAGAAGCATAAGAAGCCACTCACTGCAACCATGCCCAGGACTGGGCTGGCACCCCGAAGACACATTTCTGGCAGATTTGCAATGAGGCTCATGGCGTAGAAGTGATCTTGATATGAATTCCAGTGATGGAGAGGGCGATGCGTAGGAAGACAAAATCGGCTTCAATATCCAACAGCAGCACTTTCTTCAAGAATTCACCTCCGTCATATCAGCGGGCCGCACTAGCACCCGCTGCTCCTCGCGCCATTCTGGATATATCGGGAACCCTCTAAAAATCCACATTTTTTCCCTATCTACTGTACTAACATGGGTGCTACCTCGTTCAGGCGTGCCCGATACAGCGATTTGCAGTGGTCAACGTCAGCCGGTCTTCAGCCGTAGCGGTCAAGGATGACGAATGATCTAATTTGTGGGGCTCCGAAAGTATACTTAGTGGTATCAGTATGCTAATCAAGTATTTCCCTCGTTAATGTCCTGCTTTCTCATCACAAAGTGCATGCAGGCGTGGCATCCCATGGCAAAAAAAGCAAGATGCATCCTCATATCCTGCAGGCTTATCTGAATCACGGATGTGACAGTATCAGTGTCCCGTGTGGTATGAGCTCATCCCGCTGGAATTGCAAAAAACAGTATTCATTTTGAATTACAATACATACAATAACTCCATTCACCTTAGTGACCCTAATGCATCACCTGCATTTTTAATATAATTTATTATGAAATGGGTTCAGCTGTTATTGAATACTTACACATAGCTACATGGCAAATCGGAAAGCACTTACTCTCAGGGCTAATCAGAAACGGTCATCTCGCGCGATCCCTCATCCTTTACGCAAACCATAAATAGGCAGGCGCTTGAGAGGCCTTAGTCCTGGACTCAACAGTATACGACTCCTTCTGCACTTACGTGGATACGCCATCATGGACGGATTCGATGCTTCTCAAGCCCCTCCTGAGTACTTGGCCGTGAAGCCGCTGGCGGATTTATTCGTCCTCGGCATGGGACTAGGGTGGGTGATCAACTACGTCGGGATGGTCTACGTATCATTCAAGGAAAGGACCTACGGAATGGCCATCATGCCCCTGTGTTGCAACATCGCCTGGGAGGTCGTCTACTCCCTGATCTATCCCTCCAAGAGCCTGGTGGAGCGGGGGGTGTTCGCGGCGGGCCTCCTCATCAATTTGGGCGTCATGTACGCCGCTATTAGCTTTTCACCCCAGGAGTGGAGCCATGCGCCGCTGGTGGAGCGGAATCTCCCCTGGATCTTTGCTCTCGGGACAATCGGCTTCCTCACGGGACATCTCGCTCTCGCCGCCGAGATTGGCCATTCACTAGCCTACTCATGGGGCGCGGTCGTATGCCAGCTTCTGCTCAGCATTGGCGGACTATGTCAGCTCCTCTGTCGGAGCAGCACTCGTGGTGCTTCTTACACATTGTGGTATGGGTTCCCTTATTCCTACCCCTCCTCAATTACTCCTTCGGGAGTCGGTGCACATGCCCACGCTAACACCTTCTAGGCTTTCCCGGTTCTTGGGCTCGTGTTGCACGGTTGGGTTCGCGAGTTTACGTTGGATGTACTGGCCGGAATCTTTTGCCTGGCTCAATAGTCCCCTGGTGCTGTGGAGCCTAGCTGTTTTCGTGATGGTTGATGGATCTTATGGAGTATGCTACTGGTATGTCAAAGGCTATGAAAAGAGCGTCGGCATTGTACGGGCACGAAAGATCACATAATACACTGCGGTGATACAGAGATAGATGAGAACAGTATCTTAAAAATAAAACTATTGAGCGGAGGAAGAAAAAGTAAACATTTGTATGGTTGACCAACGCGAAATGTAACGTTAGGTACGCAACTCTGCAGGAAAATATATGGGTCAGCTGAAACCTACAGGTCCTAAACCTTGGCGAAACCAGGGTTTGGATTTCCAGTCGGCGTCCGTCCAAATGCAAATAGTGTGATTTTACAGACACCTCTTTTTTTGCCGCTCCACTTTAGCTCGTGAATCGGAGGTAGATCGCCATCAGAGAGCGTCGAGACTCTGCGTGGACACGCAGTTGGATTCATTAAGTACTGCTAGCTTCCTATAGGGCCTGTGTGCCTTGAATCTCCCCGTCCAACCGTGCAAGATGAGCAAGTCGGAGTTCCAGGTGATCATCGTAGGAGGGTCAATCGGGGGCTTGACCCTGGCGCATTGTTTGCAGCACGCCGGAATTGATCACATTGTCCTCGAGAAAGCGAGTAACCCGGCTCCACAGATCGGGGCGTCCATTGGCATCCTACCCAATGGAGCTCGCGTGCTAGACCAACTCCAGCTATACGATCAAATTGAAAGGTCTATTGAGCCACTGGAAACAGCAATCATCGGTTACCCTGATGGCTTCAGCTTTAGTAGCTCCTATCCTAAGATTATCAATAAACGGTTGGCCCCCTCCATCCATGTTCCGGCAGATGAGTCTCTCTAATATACAGGACCGTATAGGTTTGGTTTTCCCATTGCATTTCTCGACCGGCAAAGGCTGCTAGAGATCCTCTATCAAAACTATCCGGATGGTAGTAAGATCCGTCTAGGGGAAAAAGTGACGGCTATCCACCCTTCTAGTGGTCGTGTTACAGTGACCACAGCCAAAGGGTCTGTTTATCATGGCCAACTAGTTATCGGCGCAGATGGAGTTCATAGTCAAGTCCGCGAGGCGATATGGAGGGCGGGAGAGAACATGAGTTCCAGCTCGGCAATCGCCAAGGATAGATTCAGTAAGTGAATACCAGGAATCCTTCCGGTGTATAGGGGGACTAAGGGTCGTACAGGTCTCACGGTGGAATTCCGCTGTATGTTCGGAATCTCGTCTGCTATAAAAGGATTGAATGTGGGAGAACAGGTAAATAAGTTCTTGGATGGTCTGACTATTGTCACTATTCATGGAAAGAAAGGCCGTGTATACTGGTTTGTGATACAAAAGCTAAGCAGAAAATATATTTATCCCAACGGCCCTCGCTACACAGCAGACGATATCAATGCTGCGGCAGAGGTGTTGAGAAACATACAAGTTCACCAGGACATCACCTTTGGACAGATATGGGAGAACCGGGAAACCGTTTCGATGACTGCGCTGGAGGAAAATACGCTCAAAACCTGGTACCATGGCCGGTTGGTTCTCCTGGGCGATAGCGTACACAAAATGACCCCGAATATCGGCCAGGGCGCGAACATGGCAATTGAGGACGCCGCGGCTCTGGCAAACCTGCTGCGACGTCTGAGAATCAGTCCGGGCACCAGGCTCCCAACGGACGGCCAAATAGAGACGCTTTTGCGTCAATATCGCAGCATTAGATATCACCGCGTCGACTCCATCTACCGCAGCTCCCAATTTCTAGTTCGCTTTCAGGCTCGAGATGGCCTGCTGAACACTCTCTTTGGCCGCTATTATGCACCCTACGCCGGAGATCTGCCGGCTGACATGGCGTCCAAAACCATTGCTGACGGGGTCATTTGTGATTTCCTACCGCCTCCAAAGCGCTGTGGGGGCGGGTGGGAACAATATCGAAGAAAGACCCCGCGTTGGGGATGGGAGGTCCAAACTACACTGTCTATTCTTGTACTTGCTATCCTGTACGCATGGATTGGGAGAGGGCGGCTGCACTCGATGGTGTTTGACGGTTGTGGCTCGTTGCTGGGGGTGAGGAAATGCCCGATATCTACATAGTCTGATTTGATTTCTTACAATACAATGGCCACTCACCGCTGTCCAAATGCGGGCGACTGTTCCAGCCTATAAGGCTGATACTCAATGGTATCGTTTTCTGATAGTTTCTCCAAACACCACTCAATAAGACCTGCCCTTCGTCGCGTTCAGCCACGCTAGAGGCCGTCGAAGAGGCAATTTGCAGGGTTAGAGCCTGAGAGGTGACATCACGATCCACTGTGACAAACTGTCTGCAGGGGCTGTTTCGTAGCTGCGTGATACTCGTCATCAAGTACGAGGTCATGCCACCATTGCAGCAGACCCACCGAGCTATACAGGTAGGTATTTGGGTCGCAGGCAAAAGATGAGTATTCCAAGAAATACAGGTTGCACTCCCTTCACCTCGCCAAATCTCAATCTCTGCCGGGGTTCGGGGATTGATTAAATGACGGACAGTGCATCGAAACATATCATCTGCAATCACTCGGGTGGTTGTGAGAGCATTACAAAGCTAGAAACAATTGCAAAATGCCGCGAGCCACAGCAGCCGCTCTGGCATCGGTGTCTCTCTTTGCGGCATATGCCAAATACTACCAGTCGTTCCAGAATGGATTCATTGATCTCTTATCCAGCATGGCAGACAGGAAGTCACTATCTGGGCTCCCCGGAGGGCTGCAAGAAGACTACACCGGAATACGCCCACTAGACCAGTTTATGACGGCCTGTAATGTTTTCTTCTGGCCGGTGTTTCAGGGAGGATCACCAACCTTGTCACTATATGGGGTCGCGTTCGCCAGTGCCATGGTGCCGATGTGGCTGCTGATCGTAGTTGAGACACATCAACGGCGACATCCGCTTGCTGCATTGGTAGTGTAAGTGGCCGTCTGGATCACTGGCGCAAAGAGAGAGGCTGACCAAGTTCCTTTCAACAGGGTGGCGTTTGTAGCCGGTCCATTGATTCAAGGCCTAGGCCCGGGACTCGTGATGCCCGCGATACTGGCATTCATGAGCGTGTCAACACATGCTCAGCGATTGCCTTTTCGATCTGATTTGGGATCCTTCCCCTTGTCCATCATTCTGGGCTATATTCTCCCGCTCTCACTAGCTGCATTAGCCGCTCCCACAGTGATTGCATACGATACAAAGCAGCAAATAATCGCACTCTGGCAGGGTTGGCCTCTATACACCTCACTGCTCATGGGGATCTCGCGCTGGCTGACGCATGCACAGTTACCACAACCTCCGCAGCTGAAGGTCGCATGCGTCTTTGCCCTCGCATGCTCTACAGCGGGTCACCTAGCGTTTCTGTGTGTCACCGCGCTCGGGGGATATCCAAAGGACCCTATCCACTTGACCGGAATCTACTCCCGTCGAGTCTATCTTCCACCAGCTCCATGGGGGGAGACACAGGTAACCTCACTCGAGACGGGCGTGCTGCGATTCCTCCAGTGGGATTATACATTATCGGCATTAGCAATGCTCTTCTGGACTGTGGCAGTCTACTATCGCGCGACCCGACGGAGGAATCGCCGGTCTCCCTGGGTCTTGTTGATGGGACGGGTGGTGGTGGGGACCATTTTCCTGGGACCGTGCAGCGTGGCGATTGTGCTGTACTGGGAGACAATCGCATTGGTGGCTGACAAGGGACGGAACGAGCTATGACTGTAGATCGTGACGCTGTAATGCTGGGATGCTGCTTTAGCTTGCTAGCACTAGTAATCCACTATCTCCGACCTGCAGATGGTGGATTCTTTTTAAGTGCGCCGGTCATGAAATACATTCGGCGAACGGCCATGTCACAGGTTCGGTTTTATAGCTTTTGCATACGGTAGTTACCTTACAGTCTCCATGATTAGTGTAATTGAGAAAAATACAGGGCTACTACCACATAGACTTGGAGGATACTCTCTATGTCCAGTATATACAAAAAAGTTACTCCGGCAGACGGCCATTTATCCAGCCTGGTACATATACTCCGTATTAGTGTATTGTATGCTAACGTGGCCATACTGTCCGATACGATGACGAGCGCTAATGTACATACAGTACATAAAGTACATAAAGTACATAAAGTACATACAATACATAAGAATTCGAGTTCCGACTATTGTCAACCCTAGTAGCAGTAGTCAGAAACCTAATGGCTGAAATTGCTTGCTCACTAAGGGAACAGAGCATGCTCAGTGGATCCAGCGATTGATTTGCGAATTAGGGATTTTCTGTACGGTACGGTTCGGCCAGGATGATCCTCATTCCTTGGGTCCCTTCAGATTCCTCCGAATGGTTGCAGTCACTGCTGTGGGGGTCCAACACATAGCTCGTGCTTGTTCAATTAGTAGATCACTCTAGGCTTACAGTAGTCTTACCTTTGAGAGAACGGCTCGTTTTTCTCATTTCTTTCTCATTTGAGCATTGGTAATCAGCTTTGTTTGGGGGAAGGAAGAAGCATTCCGACACGACATCAGGTCAATTACACCATAATTCCAAATTCATACCCCCCACAGCGACCCCTCTCATCCATCCTGCAGGGTGCATGTCTGGCTAGTTGCTGGGGCTGGCGTCATTCAACTGTTCGTACTATCGCACCGAGGACCAGACCCAAGAGTGAATGCAGGTGCTGCTCGACCTGCCATAGGGTTGGCTGCAAGACAATTCTTTGTGGGTGAGAACCTTTATATCAGATTCGAATATGCCCATTCATGGTAAAGGCGTATCTTGCGGTTTTTGATTCGAAATCATAAGTGAACAAAATATGCTCAACCTCACAGTAGCGAACGTCTTCGCGTTCATTTTTCGGTACCTCCTTCCCATTGGCTGCTTCTTCAACAATTACAGCTCGGTCCCGACAGATCGCTACATGCCGCTGGATATTAAAGGCTTTCAACGCTTTCATGGGGAGCCGGATCCTGCACTATCCACGGCTGAGCCGGGTGACGAGGAAGACCAAGAACCGAACCAAGCCGCCGACCCATATGAAAAGGTGTTGTACCTTGGTCCTATACAAGCTTTTGTTGACATCAAGGTTCTAACGCATCTGTTCCATAGATTATCCGCGGTCCGGTCAACTACCTGGTTTCCATACCCGGTAAGAATATCCGGGGCAAGCTAATCTCGGCTTTCAACGAATGGTTCCATCTCCCGGAAGACAAACTGGACATTATCAAAGAAATTATAGATGGGCTTCACACCGCTTCGCTACTGTGAGTCCCAGTCATCCTCTATTGCAACGCATGCTAATCCCTCGCGCAGCATCGATGATATCCAAGATGGGTCGCAGCTCCGTCGGGGCCGCCCCGTAGCTCATAACATTTTTGGTGTGGCCCAGACAATCAACGCAGCCAACTATGCGTATTTTCAGCAGCAGGAAAAGCTGGACAAAATCGATGATCCGCGCGCATTCCCTATCTTCACCCGGGAACTTCTAAATTTGCATCGGGGTCAAGGGATGGATCTCTACTGGCGCGATGCGCTGGTGTGTCCTACGGAGGAGGAATATATCCAGATGGTTATCTACAAAACCGGGGGTCTGTTCCGATTGGCGCTGGAGTTGATGCAGATCCAAAGCACCGTAACGACGTATGAGCTCCACCCCCAAAAGCCTTCCTGTTCCCCATGCCTTAGCTGACCTAATCCAGGGACTTTTCCCGACTGGTAGAGTTACTTGGCGTCACTTTTCAGATCCGCGATGACTACATGAACCTGCAGGACGGGCTCTACGCAGAGAAGAAAGGGCTGATGGAGGATCTGACTGAGGGCAAGTTCTCTTATCCCATCATCCACAGCATCCACGCGGCTCCCGGCAACACACAACTCATCAGCATCCTCAAACAACGCAGTGAGGATGAGGCGGTCAAGCTATACGCCGTGCAGTACATGGAGTCAATGGGGAGTTTTCAGTATTGCCGAGAAGTGTTGAGCAGGCTGATGGAGCAGACTCGCAGCTATATTAGCGAGTTGGAAAGCTCATTGGGTCCCAACCGAGGACTCCATTGTATTCTCGATTTACTTCATGTCCAGCCACCCAATAGGAAACCCAGAATCTGATTCCTGCTTCGCATCTGAGTATCTGGGGATACTGCATCCTCCTTGCATGAGCACTGTGTAGTGAGTCAGCGTAAGCTAGACTGTGATAGAACCATGCAGTAGTCTCAAGATTGCGTCCTATCACAACTGTAGAGGGGATCCATAGCTCAGCGTGACATGGTGCTCTAGAATCGGTGGGTGAGATAAATGCCGTCCCCAAGCGTAAATACTCCGGCAGATAGCTGTGGTCAGCCCCCAATCACCCTCAACTCCTCCTTAACCACAGTGAGTTGCGAAAAATAAACTTTGCACATCTGTATAGCTATATCACCCATCGGGCCCCCTGCACCTCAATAAGAACGTTTGTTTTGAACAGGATTAACCACAATATGGCTGAACCCACGATATCCCCATTTCCCCAACTGCTGCCCGCCGACAACAAGGTGGCCAGCACCGAGACCCTGCACTATACAGTGTCCCCCATAAGATTTCCAACAGGAATGACGCATTTGGTGGCGCACATCCAATTGGGATGGTCAATCCTCGTCAGCAAATATACAGACGCTCTCGATGTTGGGTTCGGACTTACTCTCCGGGGTCTCAGTGCCCAACCAAAGCAGATTCCTATTCGATTTCACATGAACAATGATGAGACCATCGAGCAGGCTCTAGCTGCAATCCATGCCAAGGCGGTCTCAATGGACTCCTTCGAGACAGCTGCAGATGACTTCCATTCAGACCTAATTATCGAGGAGAGCATGGCAATCGAGGATGAACCTTGCAGGCCATCATCCCGTCCGTGTGCGCTGACTGTGGTGTGTCGCATCCACGGGGGATTATCGGCGGGGGATGCGTCGAATCTCCGGTTTACTGTGTACTACGACCCCCAGGTAATGGAGGCCGTGGAGGTCCAGCGCACGATGCACCAGCTGAAACACATATTGCAGCAGCTGATACAGACACCACAAGCCAAGCTGCGGGATCTCGACTTAATCAGCCCTGAGGACTGGGCGACACTAAGGGACTGGAACGCAGAGCTGCCCCGGGTGAGCCAGACCACTCTGCACGAACTGGCGTTTTATCATCGGGACTCCCGACCAGCTATCATCGCGTGGGACGGCGAGATGACCTACCACCAGCTGAACCAAGCATCCCTGGACGTTGCCCAGCACCTCATGCGTTCAGGGATTCGGCATGGGATGTTCATCCCCTTCTGCATGGAGAAGTCCCAATGGGCCGTGGTCACCATACTGACCATCTTCCGTCTCGGGGCTGTGTGTGTGCCCATCGATCCCAACATCCCGGCTGGTCGAGCTCGCGAGATGATCGAAGACATGGGAGCTCAATTCCTAGTAGTCTCGGCGGTTCAGCGTCCGAGGACGGAGGAACTAGGCATACCGATACTCGTAGTCCCCGAAGTCGCCGTTCCAACTGACCTCGTGGCCCCGCTTTCCCTCCCAGCCGTGCATCCGGAGGACCTGGCTCTGGTCCTCTTTACCTCGGGGACGACAGGTCGGCCGAAGGGTATGCGGATCGAGCACTGCAACATTGCGACATCCTTGTTGGCCATTGTGGACACATTGAACGTCAATTCCACCACGTGGGCGCTGCATTTTGCCTCATACAGCTTCGACCTGGCAATCTACGAGATCATCTGCACCCTCTACCGCGGGGGCTGCCTCTGTATTCCGTCCGAGTCCAAACGACTCAACGACCTCGCGGGTTTCATGCGAGAGCAGCAGGTAACCTGGGCCGCATTTACGCCGTCCTTATTTTCTCTTACTCGCCCGGATGACCTGCCCATGCTACAGACGGTGGCTTTGGGCGGCGAGGCCATTTCCCCCAGCATAGTGCAGACTTGGGCGCCGCATGTGCAATTAGTCAACATGTACGGTCCGACGGAGACTTCAATCTGCAGCGTCGGGCGCATACCCCAGGACCGTTGGCGCGTTGGCACAATCGGCCCCATGACGGGAGGAAGAGGATGGATCACCGCGGCGACAGACCCGGAACAGCTGGTCCCATTGGGCGCTATTGGGGAACTACTCGTTGAGGGACCCATCGTTGTCGGGGGGTATCTCAACCGTCCGGCCTCGCTCACAGCAGAGGCCTTTATCAATCCCCCCTCCTGGCTCCGTCGCTTCCGTTCGTCTTGCGATCCCGCCGGGATCCCGGGACGACTCTATCGCACGGGTGATCTGGTACGATACACGGGCCAGGGATGGATTCAGTTCGTCGGCCGACGAGACACGCAGGTCAAGGTCCGTGGACAGCGCCTGGAGCTGGGGGAAGTAGAGCATCGCGTCCGGGAGGTGTTCTCTAGCGCTCCCGACGTAGTGGTCGAGTTGGTGCCCCCCTCTGCAGGTCGTTCGTCGCCGATTCTCGTGGCGTTCATACCCGTCCAACAGGACGATGTGCCATTGCATAACGCTCCGGCCATGCTCTGCGAGATCAGCAACGCCTTCCAATCGCAGATTCAGGAGGCGTCCGCTGCGTTGCGGGATCTTCTACCGACATACATGATCCCCTCCCTGTTCGTGCCCGTCACGCACCTTCCCAGGACTATCACGGCGAAGACCGACCGGGCTCAGCTACGGCGGTTGGTGGTAGATCTCCGTTGGCGCGAGCTGGAGGTATTTTTTCCGGACAGATCGTCGTCCTTGTCCAACGGGGAGGGTGCATCCTCATGCGATGCACAGAGTCAGGAACTGCAAATCCTGGTGACGGTGGTGGCAAATGTGCTGGCCTGTGACATAGCGGACATCCGCACCAACGAGAGCTTCCTCTCGCTTGGGGGTGACTCGCTGTCCGCCATGAAATTAGTAGGGCTGGCACGGGCGGCCGGACTGACGCTGTCGGTCTTGAACATCCTTCGATCTCCATCCCTGCAGGAGCTAGCCAAACCTGCGGCGGCGCTGGTGGAATCCCTCCAGCAATCCCTACCCAAGACTGCAACCGGCCAAGAGTTCTCGCGCCTTGGGGTAAACAATCTGCGGACATTCCTCGCGCAACTAGTGGTACGGCTGTCGCCTCAGACGCAAACGGTTGAGGAAATTGAGGATGTTCTCCCAGCAACTCCGCGACAGGAGTATCTGTCGGATTTCTCGTGCGAGTATCTACTGCTCCGGCTTCAAGGACCCACGGACCATGCCCGGCTGCAGCAAGCGTGTAAACGCCTGGTGCACTACCATCCCATCCTACGGACTGTTTTCATCCGATCCTGGGATCAAATGCACCAGGTAGTCCTGCGGAGTCCGGCCGTGATGTTGCCGGTCCATTCCCCTCCCTCGGAAATAAAGACGGACGCCAATGCGAGCGCCCTGGAATGGTGCCAAGCGGACTCGATCCATCCAGTTGATCCCTCGAAACTCTCGGTGCGGTTTCTACTATTTCAGGGGGGAACCAGGGATGAAAGCGTGTTGGTGCTGCGGTACAGTCGATCGCTGTTTGATCCCGAAACTGTCCCTATTCTCTATCGGGGGCTGCAAGAACTATATGAAGACCGCAGTCCGCCGCCGGCCGTCTCTTTCCCGGCGTTCGTATATCATACACTAGGCCAGGATCGGACCGCCGAGTTCTCATTCTGGCGTTGCCTTTTACGAGACTCGGAAATGACCCAGCTCCCTTCACCCACTGTTACGGATGACGGTCCTCAGCTTCTCTTCGCGCCCTTGATACTGCCCACAATCAAACCCGCGGCGGGCATCACTGCAGCCACAGTCGTCAAGGCCGCATGGGCGCTGGCGCTGGCCGACCATACGGGACAGTCGGATATCGTCTTCACACAGATAGTCAGCGGACGCTCCATGCCTATTGTGGGCATCGAGAAGGTCGTAGGCCCTTGTAACCGGATCCTCCCGGTTCGCGCCTCCTTGCCGTCCGACAGGACGAGAGGCGACTTGCTACTGCATCAGCTTCACGCGCAGCACATTGACAGCCTGGCTTTCCAGGGGGTCTACCTGCGCGATATCATTCAGAACAGCACTTCATGGCCAGCCGATACGCGTATGGGATCCGTCGTCCTGCACCAAAACATTGAGTACCCGGCGCCCTTCGCCATGGGCAATCTTCAATGCACCCCGTCGTATTTTAATGCGCCACCCCATTTTATGCCGCTTACGATGGTCTCCATAGCTCAAGAATTGGACCACCAGATCGTGGTCACCTGCTCGAAGGACGTGGCGGATCAAGCCTCTCTGGATGCGTTGAGTTCGTCCGTGCAGCGACATATGGCCGCCCTGCAGAATATTGATCTATGATGGATTTAGCCTAACCTTACCACTAGGGCTAACCGCCACTAGGGTGATTGTGGGAATATATACCACCTGACCGTAGTGCTGCAATTGAGGGTATAAAACGTGCTTCAAATTGACATACTTTCTGACTCCTCTAACTTCCATATACAAACCTCAAGTAGAGCCAATAAGTTCTATGGCTACGACCATTGAAGATTCTATACAGCGGCATCTTTGCTGGGGTATACCGAGAGTAGTCCTACGGGTAGACCTTACCCGATCAATCCACATGCCTGAGGCTTACGTTGATACTTGAAGTATCAGATAACTGAAAACAATTCACTAAAGTGTCGAGTGTATATGAGCCATACAAATCTTCCTGCTAGACTATGTTATATCCTTATATATTTCCATGTAGCACCTAAGTCGCCCTGTTTACGGCTTTCTTTTGTTTGGATCTCTTTCTTTATACTAGATATTATTATGTGCTTTTCTGGTTATTTCTCTTTCGAGTTATATCCGTGTGCTCAATACGAGAATCACTACCAATGCCTTGTCTACTAGATTCGCATATACGAACAAGTTTTTGTTAAACCTCCCAGAGCAAATAGCCATTATAAGAAACTATATACCTAAGGTAGAGTTATAGTGATGGTAAAATCCAGATTTATTGAAAGCCTAACGGGTTCCACATGGGCACTCCGTTGATTATGCCGGAAGAATGCCGAGAACCAATGGCTCCGAGTAATCGATGTCCTAGTAGAATTATCCTCCTCGGCCCTTGAGAGACAAAACATATGAGCGGGAGGTTGGACACGCGACGCTCAAGACCAGCAAGTGTTTGGTTTTAAATCTTGCCACTCGTCATCAGAAGGTACGGGCATCCAGTGTAGTCTCGGGCATTCTGCAACTTATTGTTAGAAAGGCTCGGATGCTACTGAGACTGGTGGATTACGTGGTAAATCTCTGCTTCCCACCATTTTAATCTGCCCGAGACACCTGTGTAGTATATGGTGGAGAAATCACCATCTTAGCCAATGAGACAGAGTCCAGGGCACTGCCTAGCACGAAGTTGTTCTGGGGCTGAAGCCCCAAGATTGAACCCGTGGTGCTCGACAAACATGCCTGTAGGAAGGCGGCTAACGAACCATAGGTACTATTCGAGTGGTTAAAGATTGAACATACTTAGTGAGTGGGTCACCTGGTAATACTATCTTAGCTTATTTCCTTCTCGTAGCAAACATCTTACTATAGACAGGTGATAGAATAAGGTAAGAATCGCTAGGTAAAACTATTATGCTAGTGAAACAAGCGTAAGAGGTCCTCGATTATAGCATTCTTCCAGATAATTCGTATCATGTCCGCGCCCCTGGTAACAAATGCTGATACTCGTCCGATGAATGTTTTTTTGGAATAGAGCTCTCGTCCTATGGTGTATACAATCTGGGTACGGGAGAGGTGGGTTGGCAAATCTAGTCTGTGACAGGACAAGGGGAAGAGCCCGGAGCAACAACCTTTCAGTCACTTGTCAAAAAGAGGGTCGCGAGAAACACGGGAGATATAAGTTTGAGAATTTCAAGGGCATACGATGTGTCCCGACTATGCGCATAATTAACACCATCTTACCAGTATTCCTATGCACAGCCTGCCTAACCACAGCCTCTCCTGCCAGTACTATACCCAGAAAGCTAGATTGGCACCAAGATTCAATCAATACGCATCTCTGAGTATGAACTAGCGGGCATGGACTAAAGGATCTGCCAGATCCGCCTCACTCAGCTAATACAACTCTCTCGTCAAATCGCCTTTAATGCGGTACCTGTCCCCAGTGGTCCCCTCCTCCCACGACTCCGGAGGTGTTGCCCGAATAAACCACTCCATGATGACGTCTGAGTTCGTCACCTCATCCGGCTCAACACTTGTTTCCTTACTGATATTGCGTTTACAATCTAGGTAAATCAGCCGCAAGTGCCCTTTGGTATCAAAGGCCCCCTGGTCTGCAATGGGCAGGTACATGGCTGCCACTGTGCGGAGAAGTCCAGCCGCCGCGATCTCAGTAAAATGATGCGGATCCTCCCTCCACTTATCAGGTTTATTATGCTTTTTTCTCGCTAAGCCAGTCCTTGAGCTGCGTTCTGGGGGCATGGATATTCCGTGGCACGCGATTGTCTGGTGGACGGCTGTGTGGTGGAGCAGCCATTTCAGGGAGGAATTCGTACACGCACTGCCAGTTCGAGCCAAAGTAATGTTTATCATCCAGACACGGCCACCAAGCATTTCCTACTCGCTCACCCATTTCTCCGTCTTCTCGTCGCCGTCCGGGTCATAGTGCGTCCGAAGAAAGATCGGTTCGTCACTAGGGAAGTCTAACATTGCCCACGCTCTGCTGCCCAAGGTCGCGCCACCACCAGGGAAGCACGATTGTGTTGATTTCCTCTGCCATGGCGGCGCGAGGCATTGGGTTCCTGTAATGGGCCGTATCCTATTCGCGGAGGTCGTTTTATCTCATCTAGTTCAAGATATTGACGAATGAGCTGGCGGCGCCGTTGGTTGGGGGTTCCGTCGCTGCGGTGCCCCATTTCATCTTGTAGACTATTAATGATCTCTCAGGACATCCTAGTTTATTTGGGAAACCTACAACCAGGTATTACTCAACGGGCAACTTGCCCAATTTCGGGAGATATCCTCGTTCCCAGGGGTTGGTCATGGCGAGAACAAATGATGTAATTGAACATAGATAGGGAGTCAAGATGCAGGATGTTAGGGGCGGGGTTCTGCACTTTATATAACTTCTCCAGCGGCAATCCGTACTTGAACAAACAAGAAAGGTAGGTAAAAACCAGCATAGCGGGACCCGTGGGAACTAGGGCATCGGTGCCACTATAGTCTAGGCAGCAGGAGGATGCTTAGGCTGCTACCAGTCGCGTCGCTTTGTTTCATTACTTAGAAACCTATTGTATGTCTTCAGCTTATGCCCTCTTCCCATCATCTACGTCAACAGGCATCATGTAAGACCAAGATCCCATGACAAACACTGTGAGATGCGTTGAAAGCCTAGGATCTGTAGACATCCTTGTAGCCTCGAAAAAACTCCCCCTTCAGACTTGCTCCTAGCCTTCCATAAGCATTCAGTATACTCTCACACATCCTCTAGTTTCAAGCTGTGGGGAAATAATACGAACTTGGCTGTCTTGAGACCCACCTCAATAGCCCCGGTAAGTCATAATGGACAGAATCACATTCTTGGCTGCATGATGAGTGTCATATGCGACAAGGGAGGTGAACTTCGCGTTGCTTTACTGGCGAGCTTCAATGCAGCAAGCACATCTAAGTGCCATGGCTTTCCAAAGGCTATATGAGTTGTCCCATTGCCGACTTTCCGTACTCAGAGTTGCCTATAAAATGTCCGTACATTCCGTCCGTCGACGACTCAATCTGAGCAATCATCCAGCCCTTTTCATTCTAAGCAAGCTTCTAAGCCTTCTATCAAGCAGCAAAATGAAGAAAATCCATTCTACAGTCCCATTTATCCTTATTATCGCGCTTTCAGTAGTTTGTTGCACAGAATCTTACAGCTGAAGGAAAATCAATCTGCAACAAGAATGCCGGATTTACGCTTATTATACCTCATCCCTTATCTAGGACACTTACCCCATAACATAACCAGACTTACCCTTTGGCCCTTATAACTCCGATCTCTTAGTGTGGAAAAACCGTTTGAATGAATCGGATATGTGCTACCATTTCTGAAATACTCGAGTATATTTAGTTGGATATCCATACTCACATTAATATGCATTATGCTAGATAGGGAAACGTTATCTAAAATGGATGGTCGCCACTCAAAGTACATGTTGAAGATGGCTTTACCCGCGACTAATGCAGAAGCGGATTGTAGTAACACCTACAACCAATCATTGATAGCAGTATATCACTGCGACTGGCCTGTGATTGAAAAGCTCCGTATCAAACAGGCATGCCCTCTTATTCGCGAAGCAAAAAATGAATCTTTTGAATAGCTGGCCTGCTTCTAGAAAATGTGCACTATTGATGGATATTCGAAGTTTGACCTAAGTCAGTCACACACAGAATGGAACTCAACCTGTAATCCATTGCTCCTTGTTATTTGGTAATGATAAGACCCCCGTAAATGATAGTTATCTAACTTTCTTGCTTGTGTACTGGAATATTTTTCAAGAACAAGCAGTATCCCATAGCTCTCTTATGTTAAAGGTACTACTGATATTAAGATAATTCACAACCGCCGGTAATCACCATCTCATATATAACCTACTTCTCTTCAGTTGTTCAAAATTCTCTGTTCTTTTGTTACCCAGACAAGTATGTTCCGAGGCTCAAGAGTTGCGAGCAGCATTGCTAAGTGACGATTCGCTATTGCTTTCCTCCTTGGGGTATGTGGAAAATGGGAAATCCACAGGGGTGGTTTCGGCTGGTCTTGCTTTTTTTAGGTGCGCATCTACCCGGTTGACAATTAAGTCAAGGTTAGTAGTATGCGATATTGGTCTCTGGTTTAACAAACACATTGCCGTCAGGTTAAGATGCTGGTAGGTTTCAACAACATCCGGAAAGTCATTGGCAATGTTCGTAGCCAGAGAGATCAGTTGGCTTTCTTTAGTATGGTTGTTGTTTCTGCAAGGTAAATAAGTAACTGCATAAGCGCAAGGTCAGGCTACTAAGGCGCATATACACATACATTTCTCGTTCGAGCTTCTTGGAACAGACCAGAAGCGCGCCAAAGGAGAGCCGAAACGCCACCAATAGCCATCTTCTAGCCAGCCTGTTTTCTTTTCGAAACCGTAGTTTTCTCGCAGATCGTGACTCTTCTCTGACTGTCTCCCAATCACTGTACATTTCAGCCAGTGTAAGGTTGATGGCAAGGCCATCAATGCGTTGACCTCGCTTCTGAGAGATCCTTTGGCCGCGCATTCTTTCAAGCTTCAGAAGATGCATACGCCTGATAACATGGAGATATTGAACAATTTGAAAGAGACGTAAATAAACTTCCTGGGCCATGTGCAAATGAGCCAGCGGATATAGAGTATCGTACTCATTTCGGGGCTTGCCTTCAGATCCGTACTTTTCCCAGCTTGGGAGGAAAATTCGAAGGAAGCCAGGTGCTCGGCTATCAATAAGGTCTTTCGCATATTGAATGACACTTATCCCCACGATGGGCATAGCACTGGTTGAACTCATGAAATAGGCATTAGGGCACTGAAACCGAAATACCTCCAATAAAGATGGTTCCGGCAAGGCTGCTTGAGTCGAGTCCATTGTTCAGTAGTTGTTAAGCTCGCTTTCAGTGCTTAATGGGTCAAAATGTCATTCGCAGGGGTTTATCGAGAGTTTAGCGTTGTGGAATACTTTTGTAGATGTTTAGTTCCTTGCTATACCCGCTCAGACCATTTAGTAGGTACATAAAGACTCCCAATATTCACACCATGAACTATGGCATAAACTGAGGCCCTATTTGAGTCACTCTATGGAGGAATGGAACTGTAGTGATTTCAGGGAAAGATGGCATTCGAAAGGAGACAAGACATAAATTGAGCAGTATCTTGACTGAATAGATACAGGAAGAAGGAGGGATTCTCAGGGGTTAAACCCCCGCACGCTTGCCAAGGCGCTAGCTATACACCAGCTATACACCATTTCTTCAACATTTATGGTTTGTATAGCTTCAAAATGGTAGGAAATTGATTATCTTCCTTTAGGCTGAAAATTCCTTTAGGCTGCCGACCACCCACCGGCGGAAGGCGGTGGGTGGTCGGAACCGCCACTGATATCTGTATTCTTAAAGATCAAGCTGAATTGCTTCATACTTTATCTTCTATTGAAATTGATATGTCGTATAAACGAGTTCAATCAAAAGAGCTAAAGGAGATGGTATTTGCCACATATTTAATACATCAAAAGAAAAGTATATATATCTACTTTATAACTATTTATTGAGTGCTTGCTAATTGCTTTTAAATTAGTTATTACTCTTTGCCGTGTCTTTACAACTGAGTATACAACTGAAGGCTATTATATCTTATTTAAAAAGATCTATGATATAATATGTCAGAGCCTATAAGAGCCTAAGGCAGCAACCACGTGACCTGACCACAATGTGGAAGCGAGTGTATGCTTGTTCTATTGGGTGGCCGGAACGGCCAAACTACCTAAATAACTAGCTTACTAAATGATGACTAAGCGAGATCGAACCAATAGGGCATGCGGCGCAGGACAACCGTATGTTCCAACACCCCCCCTCGAGCGAGCGAGTCATCATGAAATGAAGATAAAATAACTAAAATATCACCTGGAAGTGATAAAAGAATGTAGTAGGCAATTGTCTGGTGCAGGAATTACTTGTCTGAGCTCTGGAGACCTAGTAATCGCACAAATTTAGAATAGGCTTCTGATCCCAGCGGCTTCGTGAAGCCATCAGCAACCATATCAGTTGTGGGGATCTGTTTGATATGAATAATGCCTTGATCGATCATATCGCGTGTATAATGATATCGAATATCAATGTGCTTAGACCGCTTGGTCTGTACATCAGAGATAGTAAGGTCAATTGCACCTTTATTGTCCATATGCATTGGTATGCTAGGTGCGGGTGATTCATTGAATAGTTGAAGATCCTTCATGATTTCACGAATCCAGTAGGCCTCTCGTGATGCCTCAGATGCAGCAATATACTCAGCTTCATTTGAGCTAGTTGCCACACATGTTTGACGTTTTGCTTGCCAGGCTATCGGTCCTCCAGCAAGCTTGAAGATATATCCACCCACTGATCTGCGGGCTTTGGTGTGTGGACCTCCCCAATCTGAATCGCTGTATGCCTCTGGGGGTCCAGTATTAGCTGTAGGTGTTGAATCGTGGTGGTATTGGATTCCAAGTGCGCGTGTGCCTTTCAGATACTTAAGCATATGCATAAGAGCTGCCCAGCATTTAGCTGTAGGCGCTGTATTGAACTCTGCAAGGAAGCAAGCTGCACAGCTGATATCTGGCCTAGTCTTTATAGCGAGATATTGCAGGCTGCCTGTCCCACGCTGATATTCCTTGATATTTATTGTTAAATCCAGCGCATCATCTATTAGAGTTCCGGGATCAAGCAGTGATTTAGTTGGGTGAGTATTATGTAGCCCAAATGAGTTGATTAACTCATCAATATAGTCCTCTTGTGACAGTTGTATGCCAGTAGATTCTGCCTTGATATTCATGTCTAGATATCTCTTAAATTCAGGCACTTCTTTGATCTTGAATTGAGATTTTAAGTCCTCAAGTGCTTTCTTAGCATCTTGAGTATCTTCACTAATAATCATGAAGTCATCAACATAAGTGGTGATATATAGCTTCTTAGTGGCATGTACAAATAGACCTGAGTCATGTGATGAAACTCTGAATCCTATAGATTCAAGATAAGCATGTAGATCATCATACCATAGACGTGCGGATGGGGTCAGGCCATAGAGAGACTGGCGAAGTGAGCATACTAAGGTGCCTGGCTCCCCTTCTGCGAATCCAAGTGGTTAATTCATGTAGATAGGATGACCTTTTAGCTTCGCATTTAAAAATGCAAGAACTGCATCTGCTTATATGATGTACCAGCCCTTCTGGGCGCTGACAGCAAGCAAAATGCGTGATGTGGTAGGGTCAACGACTGGGGCGTACGTGATCCCTTCAAATGCTGATTTATCAAGAAGATTGCCCCTAATGACCCATCGTGCCTTATAATGGATAGAATCATCAGGATTAAGCTTCTTTTTATATACCCATCTGCCTGGAATAGCACGTGTTCCGGCGGGCATGTCAGATTTCCTGATTAGGTCCCAACAGTGTTTCTTTTTCAATGTGTCAATCTCTTCTTGCATTGCATTGATCCATTTGTCTGCTTCAGAGCTATTAACAGCCTCACGATAGGATTTCGGCTCAGGAAGAGGTGATTCAGTTGATTTGACTATTGCAAATCCTTTCGCTGGTCAGTAGAGATCATCTTTAAGGGTGATCTCTGTAGTATCCTCAGCAGGCATGGTTTCAGGTGCTGATGTACGCTGCTCTTTAATGTCTGCTGTCTTTATAATAGGGTTGAATTCCTCATTGATTGAGATGTCGCTTGTCTCTCGAAGTTGATTAATCTCAGGGTCCCAAATGACATAGATATGGCTGCCTTGATAGCCAACAACATGCACTTTCTTAGCACGTGGATCAAGCTTACTAGTGGGCTTGCCTGCATATTTAGAAGCTCCATGTAGATGCATCCAAGCAGGTAAACCAAACTTGATAAGATGCTTGATATCTGCATTGCCATTGGTCCAAGCTGAATATGGTGTGATGTGGGCGCATGGTTGAATGCTTGGATCACTAGTCGGCGCCATGGGCCTTTGGTCATTGTACAACGGGATTCTGGTAGGCGTTCGATTCAAATGATAGACAGCAGTGTGTAAGGCTTGTGGCCAGAGCCATCAAGGTAATTCTGAGTCATATAAGGTTGCGCGTGTACGCTGTAGAACTGTTTGAATTCCACGTTCACTAATACCGTCTTGCCATGGAGAATCAGCTGTGATAGGTTCCCAAACTAGGCCATATGTTTGACATATCTTCTTTGCTGTGTCTGTAAGGAATTCGCGATCACTTCAGACAAAAGCAGGTAGTTTAAATCCTTAATTCTTGATATGCTCAAGCTAACCTTGGAAGGTAGGGATAGCTTCATCTCTTGTACGCAGGGTATAAACCCATCAATATCGAGTGGCATTATCAGTGATCAGCATGAAATATTGTATATTCTTGATACCTGGTGGTGATTCTTCATCCTTACAATCTAATGTTGCACCACCACCTGCAATATCGATATGAATTCATGCTAGGATCTTTGTAGCACGTGAAGCAGGATCCTTAGTATTCTGCCTTCTCTGTTTCGCTTGTCTGCATATATCACAGAAAGCTAGGGTCTTCAGGCCTTTTATTCTTAAGACCTTTTGCTGCGCAAGCTTCAAAATTACGCGGAAATGAATATGGGATAGGCATCAATGCCATTCTTCTATAGTTACTGATAGTATAGCAGCTTGACTATTCTTTTGATTATTCTTTTGATCATTGATTTGATTATTCTTCTGATTATTCTTCTGATTATTCTTCTGATTATTCTTCTGATTATTCTGTTGATCATTCTGTTGATCATTCTTTATGCGCCGATTGGACATTGCTGCGCATGCGATTGGTCAGATCTTATATAGATCTGAATTCTTCTCTGCATGGGCACCAAGGGAAGCTCCTGTAGGTGATTTAATAAGGAAATACTTCTCATTGATATCACCAATTAGAGATATATCAAAATTCTGCTTATCTAACTGCCTGAAAGATAGCAAATTAGGTTGCATTGTTGGTGCATATCGGACATCATGGATCTCTGTACCATATATAGATACTGACCCGATTCCTAGGATCTCATGTGGATGGCCACCGGCATCATCAATTAAGGCATGCAAGGGCTGAAAATTAATGAATAGATCCTGTTTATTTACTACATGAAAGTCTGCAGCAGTGTCTAGAAGCCATTAAGGGTCTTTAGGCTGCATGATCATGATTGAATTGGCTTGTGCATGGTTGCCGCCTCGTAGGACTAATTCTGTGCTGGTTGATTGATCCTTATCATCATTAGGTGATATGTTCGTGGTGTGAGGATTCCTTAAACATTTGGATGCTTTCTCTGGATGCAGCTTCCAACAGTCTTCAGGGGTATGAAATCCTCGGCTACATGCTTGACATAATGTCTTCATACAGGGTTGTTTCTGATCATCACGCTTGTTTTTGTCTTTTGGGTCGGAAGGGCTCATTCAGTATTTAGTCTCAAGCTTGAATTCTTGAGGATTTTGGGGGATATATTTATTAGAGCTTGATATTGAGGATGCTCGCGCAACTAGCTGATCTGCAAGAGTTGCTATGTCCAAATTCTTTATTGGTCCTCTGCCGCAGGCGTAGAACTCATCTAGCTGATTACGAACAAAATTCTGCTGCCATTGGCCTAAGGAACAGATGAAAATATCATGAATCATATCATCAAAAGATAGATTCATTCGGCGAAGCTTTGCTGCAATTCACTGAAAATCACAGATCATTGCTGGATAATTGCCTTGGGGGTTGATATCTAATAAGGCTTTGACTGTCATAAGTCTCTCCTCTGCTGCAGATAGGCCATATGTTGATGTGATTCTAGCCCATAAATCTGCTGCAATGGTGGAATCTTCCCAACTGATTGTTTCTCGTACATGGGATGCAATCGTCTGTAGAATCCTGGTATATAGGATCTCATTTTTCATTTGCCAACGGGCAGTTTCAATCTCATTATCATTAGATGGCTCGGTTTGATCAAGGATTTCTTTTGCCTCAATCATATGTGCGTCCATGAGGATAGAATCGCGCCATATGGTGTAGTTCTCTCAGCCATTAAGAATAGCTGGTTTTCGTGTTCCAAACTTTGACTTGGCCAATCGTCGAATACGTTCCTGCTCACGGTATGCAAGATCTAACTGATGAATCGCTGCATTTTGTGTATA